ATGTTAAATGTCATGAGCTCATTTCTGTGTAACATTGTTAGAGCAATTTAAATTTTCCAAGGACACAAAAAAGTGAACATTACTCCAGGAGTCCACAAAAATACATAACTAGGAATCATAAATTACAACACACATATCCCACATTTAAGAGAAAAATTCACCATTTGTTGGAAAATATTAAATGACTCAAGTGATTTAGAGAGCCTGAAATGTAGGGTAAACTTTTCTAACATATGGTAACAATAAGATATTTGAAACTGTTAGCTGAAAAATGCATGAAAATGTATTGACCTACCAAGCATTTAATTATACATACCAGTTTCCACTTGAAAAACATTTTTCTTTCAAATATTTCAAGCTGTATCACAATACTAAGGAAACATTAGTCATTTTCAGTCATTTTAGGAAGCTAAAGACATTCAGTTAAGCTAACGAACATTTTCGCTAGACCAAATTATAAAATTAAAAAACATATAAAATGCATTTGACAGCTATTTTACAGAGTACCTTTCAGTGCCTGATCTACTGAGAAATCTGCTGAATATAACTCCAGGTTGATTTAATTTAGGGTAATACAATGGATTAGAACTTCAGAACTCTTCCCAGTTTTCATTCAAACTTTTATATATAGTACAGGGTTCCTAAAAAACATTCTAAAGCATGTCTATGGAAGGTTTTACAGTTGTACCCTTTATCTGTATTAAGAAAAAGATCAGAGAAAACAAGCCATTTAAGCATTACTAAGAAGCTAACTTATCTCTTTCTTCTATATGTTCATTTGCTTACTTGTGACACAAAGCCCCCCAAATTCAGGAACACTCTCTCAGCCCGCATTCACTGGCTCTGAGACTGGTGCTGCCTGAGTTCTATTACCTGTTTGGAAATAACAGAAAAGAAAGGAAGGCAAAGTCACAGAAGGGAGAGAGTCATGCAAAAAGGGAATAAGGGAATAGTGATTCACACTATAGAGGCCACACCCAACCAAAACCCTCACAAAACCTTGAGAAACACAGCAAGATTATCCTCTCCAGGTAAGTCAGTCCCTTACAGAGGAAAAGTTCCAGAGAACTTAAGGCAGCTCTCAGAGGGAAGGGAGCAGGGGTTAAGGCGGTCCTCACAGCACAGCCTGAGAAGGAATCACAATGCACTTATCCATGAACAGAGGCCACAGCAATACACAGAGCCTCTCTAACATGCATGCACATAGCACACCTCCTAGCTCCGAAGTAAACACTGGCAGCATGCACACACTGTAATGTTCAAACACACTGACTTGTATATGGCTTGCCCAGGGACAGGCCTCAGAAGGTACCCGGGGGTGGGGGGGGGGAGGCTCGGCTGCAGGATGCACAGCTCGTCTGGTGGCTCTAGTGGTGGCTCTGGGTGTGTGTTGAGAGTGACCTACCTCTTAACTTGTGGGAGGCTTTCACTGCTTCCAGTCAGGTTGAGACAGCCTGCTACTAATTAAAGACCTAAGCACAGAGCACTGTACCCTCCGAGGGAGCTCTGACTCATTATAAAAATCAAACCAGTTATAGCAGGTAACTGACAAGAAGAGAGCCACCAGGCTCTGGGCACTTCATCTCGTTAGCACAAAGAACCTGGAACTTGGCACTTGCTCGGTTCCCATATGCCAGTTGCCAGTTCTGATAAGAAGAAGAAAAAAAAAACACCTCTTGCTGACCCAGGGCACCCCACAGGTACCAGGAGAAACAGAATGTCACCTGGAGACTTTTCAGTCTCCTGCCCCCCACCTGCCACATTGCCACTGCCGCATGCAGGGAAGTGGCATCGCGGAGGGTTGCGTGACCTCAGCAAGTCGCAGACCTCTTAAGTTATCATCAGCAAGTGACTATAGTAGCTACCCTTCCTACCTTCCAGTGCTGTTGTGAGGATACAATGAGGTAACAGAGGAAGTGAGCCTAAGAAAAGCATCGCCAGGTGCAAGATCCTGTTCTGTACTACTTTCAGCAGGAGAATTGAAAGGTCACACACTAATTTTTGCTTTCTGTTTTGTCCTCAACAGTTGAAGTTACCCAGAGGATCCTTGTTTATACCTCCTGGGGAACTCTACATTCTGGTGACTCTGTGTGTATGTGTGACAGAGACAGAGAAGGAGGGAGGAAGGGAAGGAGGGGGAGAGAGAAGAAGGAAAAAGAGAAAAATAAGGAAAGCAGGCAGGCATATGAATATTGTGTGAGGATTTCTCAGGATAGGACAGGTGCCCCTTTACCTACGGTTACCAGGGGAGTAATTTCTTAAAACAATCATTACATTGAAATTCCAATATTTTCATAGCCTCCCACACGTTAAAAGATCTGATCTATATAACCCATAATGACTCACTCAGAAAGAGCCAATTCTCAATAATCCACTGAAACAAAGGAAATAAAGCAAACCATACAAACTGACCAGAATCCCCAAATTTCCTTTGGTAGGCTTTGGAATATATCTTTTTGTACTTTTGCACTTGACAAAAGAAGTCTCAGCTACGTGGAGATTTTCCAAAACTTCCAAAGGAATCTCTTTGTGGATCTTACCTTCCACTTTATAGTTACTCTCAGGTCAGGGAGACCAAAGCCTTAACCTAAGAAAAGCTACAAGGCAAATTGCTCCTAGTTTTTTACCCTTGCGTTCCAAGACATGAGCTAAGTACATATGTAAGGTGTGTGGGGAGACTGTTGAGAAGGAGCTATTAGGACAGAACTGGGTTCTTTCAAGATCTTTCTTTGAAACGCTACTATGTGTCCCAGGGGAATTATGAAAAAACAAATTAGTGACAATGTTAACGAATGTACTGCTGAGTGAGAACAACAAACATTGGCCTGAAGGTAGGCCAGGGTGGCAACCGAGGACTGACTCCATCCACTGCCTTCCACAGCCAGAGTGGGTGAGTAGGCGGCTGGGGAAGGTAGGTTTGAAGCTGGGTGAGAAAGTGTAGTTGGAGAGAGGGTGAGCTGTCCTCAGAGGGACTAAAAGAAACCCTAATCTGCAGATTACTGTTGTATCCTCAAGAAAGTAGCACAGAGTCTTTTACCAGGACTTGGGTTTCCCTGGTTGTAAGGTATTCTTGTTATGACTAAAGATCTTTAGGCTGCTAGGAGAAATTAGTTCAGAACCCCATCTGGGGTCCTGGCTAGCCCTCAGAGGAAACTGGAGCCTGGAATAGTAGAATCTTTGTGTGACCATCACTGACCGGGAGAGATTCTGGCCCAGGTGTGGAAAGGAGGAGGCCCCAGCACTTTCTAGCAGAAAGACAGGAGACAAGAAAGAGACATTTCAGGATACAAGCTGTCAGGGGTAATATAAAGGGCTGCAATGGCAGTAGGAGCTACAGTGTGCTCTTGAAGACCTGGCAGGATTGTGTGCACAGGACATGTTGCACAGGGACTAAACTATGGGAGGGCCTGGGGGGAGGATTTCCCGGTCTGAGGTGGAAAGTCTACAGCAGGGTGGCATCTTTTTAGCATCTCCCTTATGCAACAAGTCAGTACTCTGGCACATTCAGTACTAACCAAATGGTTTTAAGAGTTCATTGTTCATTGAAAACCACATTGACAATTGGGGAAAACTAAGAGAGCCTGATTGAATCTGTAGTATTTTTGGTGGATTTTGCAAATAAATAAATGTATCCAAACTGAATACGGTAGTACATGACACAATAAAAATTACTCAAATGAATTTACTGTCTAAAAGTATGTATGTAAATCATGTACATTTAAGAAAGGTTATGGCTACATCAACTTGTGATTTTACATTTTATTAATCTCCCAGAATTAAGAGGCAGCAAACACTGCTCTTTCCATTCGAGGGTGAAATCACTGAGTAACTGCATCTAGTTTCTCTATGGTTCAAGTGGCAAGAGGAGAGAATTTTAGATGTGTAAGGGTCCAACCCTCTTATTGTGTAAGTGCGGAATGTGAGGTCTAAATAAGTTAACAGACAGTGTTTGTCCTTTAAAAACAATCTTTATCATGATTTGAAACTGTTTGACTTCCATTAATATTGCACGTTTTAATAAGATGTCATTTTTCATAGACGATCTAGCAGTTAAGTTTACATAAATCTATGAGTGTAATTCAGAACCAGAGTTTCTAATGAAAGCTAAGATTTTGCTCTCGCATAACTTGCAAGACTTACTGTCTTTCTAGGAATTCCAGGAAAAATTGAGAATATGTTTAATTAGGATTTCAGAATGAAACTTATAGGACCTGGGTCTTAATGAAACAAGTCCTCTGCAAAATTTAGCAATCTTCTTATATTTCTTATATAAGTCTTAAAGTATTCGTAAGATGATGCTCCTTAAAGTATCTAGTGGTACCGAGAACATTTATAGAAGTTGCAAAGCCTTAAAAAAAAAAATGGAACCATAGTATTTGTTATATACCTTCTTTAGCATAATTTATAGGATAATCAAGGTTTTAAGACCTGAATCATGACTATGCTGACAATCTTCTCTAGACAGTAACTGAGATTAATTCTTAATAAATTAAGAAGAAGAAAGAAAACCTGTCAGGGCTGAGAATATGCAGTGCAGGAATCCAATCCGGGAACTAAAAATAAGTCAATTTACAGAACACTGTACCCTGATGTGATATCCACCCAGGGAAAATTAATGAGCACATCAATGTAATACATTCTGAATAAATAATGACATCAACAATAGCCACTTTGTCTAATCCTATCCCTAAATGTCAAACATTTTGTCATATTACTACGTGATTTCCCAGTGTCTGCTACTTATGCAGGTGAATCTGTATATATTTGCACATAATCCAGTTAAAACTGATCTGATTGAATTGTAAACAGAGTTGATAAAAGAGAAGCTTATTGTTGTAGTGCCTAATAAGAGTATCGCTTATATATTAAAGAACACAGTATGTAGCAGCAATTTAAAATGCTCAGTAAACTACAGTACAAATGGACTTCTATGCTATATGGCAAACCAACATTCTCTTAATATCTCTATATCATAGTGACACATATAAGAAGTTGACCAATTACTTTACATATTGCCAGTTTATTTCTTTGATCCAGTTTGACAGTATCAACATAATTTATTCCTGAACTGATATGATATGTACTCAATGGCAATTTTTCTTTCAATTCTTCTCGTCCGCGCAGAGAAGGCTCTTTGTTGGTGCCTTTCTAACAACAGCTCGTAGCTGGCATTTACATTCTTACCATACCAGTTAGATGCAGTGCTAAGGATTTATAGTAAATGCCGGCAGCTGGTGACATTTTCCCCCTTCCTTCCATCATTTACCTGCATGTACATACCTTGGGAAACCTAACTGACCCAGGGTGAGTGTTGCTATTAAGGTAACACAGCACAAAGAAGCCTATTGTTCTTTCCACGGTGATGAAAGTACTTAGGGAAATTTCCAGTTAATAAACTCTTGTTTGAAAGATAATCAGTACTTTTTCTTTAAAAATGTCTCTTCAGTAGCTCACTGGAAATAATGGGTTCTTATTGTCAGTGTTTGCCTTGATACCACATCACTTTCAGACCCGTGATATGAATCCCAGGCCCAGGCTGGCTGGGATCTGGATGGTTTCTAGTGCAAGGGAGGATGGGTTAAAAGGAAAGGTGACAGGAAAGATGTGTTTAGCATCCATGAGCAGTTGAGGAGAGTCTTTCCTGTCTCGTAAACGCATCTGAGATAAAAAAAAAAATAAAAACAGAGCATCAGTTCTTTGAATCTATAAAGATTATTTCCCCGCACCAAAAATCTACCAAGTCCTCAACTAATAAAGAATGTTTACATTTGTTTTAAAATCACTTCATTTTTCTAATAAGCTGTTATCAAAAAGTTAATGCATTGTTAAAATTAGAGATAATACAATTTAAAAACACATTTTCTTTCAAGCACTATAAAATTTTCATTCAAAAAACTGTGTTGGTGAATCAAAGAAAAAGAAAGCCGGGACACCTGGGTGGCTCAGTGGTTGAGTGTCTGCCTTAGGCAAAGGGAGTGATCCTGGAGTTCCCGGATCGGATCGAGTCCCACATTGGGCTCCCTGAGGGGTTTCTGCTTCTCCCTCTGCCTATGTCTCTGCCTCTTTCTCTGTGTCTCTCGTGAATAAATAAATAAAATCTTAAAAAAAAAAAAAAAAAAAAAAGAAAGCCTAGGAGATCTTACCTGTATAGTACGAATAAATGATACAGAGACTCTTTCTTCAAACTCATTAACTGGAGTATACAAATTCAACACTTTGACAATCTGTGAGAAATGAAATGATTAAAGTCTTCAGCATACTATCAAACACACACACTAGGTGCTTACAGTCTGGAAAACTAAAAGGATCTGTGCATACAGTTTATAATTCTACTAAGGGCTGGGCTGGGATAAGGAGAGAGAGAGAGCTGGTCTAAAAAGGCATATTTACCTTTATCATGTGAATTTTTAAAATAGGAATGTATTAATGGAATATTTGAACATTTTAAGAAGCAACATAAATTTGGAAAAATAACCAAACCATACAAAAGAACACATGAAAAGTGTCCCACTCAATCCTCTCAGTCTACCCAAGCAGCAACTGTTTGTTAGTAGTGTCCCTCGTTTCCATCTTGCTGCTTTCTATGCATATTCTACGTGTAATCTATATAAGCTGTCTATAGTATGAGACATGTAACGACCATTAAGCCCAGGAGTCGGCAAAGAAATAACTGGCAAAAGAAAAACGGGCATGGTTTATACCAATGCCTTGCCTCATGCTGTTGCCAGCATCCTCAAATTGCCCTTCCCCTCTTTTCACTTCCTTAAATGCAGTGCCCAGCTTAATAGGACGTTCCTTGAACAGAGTAATATCTTCTCAGCATTTCCTTTAGACATCTTACTATAAAATGCTGGAACCTCTTATAGTAGAATCAGTTGGGTACACCTCTCTTGCCTACTACACTGGAAAATTCCTTTTAGGCAAGGGCTGTTTCTTATTGTTTGACGTATTTCCCCCAGTAATAGGTATGGTGCCTTGAGATAGGCACTCAATCAGTCATTTATTGAAATGAAGGAACAAGAATCATCTGTCTTAAAACTAGAGAAGTCTAATACCATTCAATTATCAAATAGTATGGAAAATTATTTTTTGGAATACAGGCTCCATAGAATGCAGAGAATATACACCCCCTGGAAGCAGGGACGTTGTTTTGTTCTTGGTTGCACCTCAGTGCTTGGGGGTGTTATGCAGAACACTGTACACAGTATTTGCTGAATGTGGACTGTGGATGATTGTGACTCTCACCCAAATTTTTACTTTCTGGTAAAATCTCCTTTAAGATTTGTATAGATATATGTCTTCTCCAATCACATGAAGTCAGTTCAGAGACAAGAGTCATGACTGAGGGACCTCATTTCCCTAAGTGTCACCCCTTGACAAATACTACACTAACTCTCAGCAGGGAGAGGTGCTTCACCTGGGCAGTGGTTAGAGCACTGCACATGGAACAAATGGCTTCTGCGTCATCATCTGTCTTCTTTTTCACTTGCAAAAGCTGAGCAGCCTGAATGAGAGGTTCCAGGGTTTCTTTAGCCCCGCTATTCATCAGATTCTTGTCACGCAGCCATTCTTCCAGTTGACTGACATTGTACCTATGCCAAAAAGAGAAAGAGGGAGAGAATGCAAATTTACTGAATGTTGTCATAAACGTCTTAATTTTTTATGTACGGCTTTGTCAGGAATTTCAGTTAAAATGACAGGCAGTATTTTTGTTCAATTTTCTTAAATCTTACCAGCTGTGCTTAAGGTTTTATTATAGCCATGAGGTTTATAATCATAATTATATAAGAGTAAATGACTAGAGGATATAATTAACTTCAATGGAAGGCAGAAATACAGCCATTACAGCAAAAATTACAAAATAAAACTTGCTGAGAGACAAAATAGAACATAACACGGCTGTGTCCTTATTATGCAGCTGACCAGAAAATGCTTTCTAGCTTGTTTTACAAGATCAGAGGAAAGAATCAGTAACCTTCGAGTACTTTTTCCTTCTTATGTCAAAATCCAAGGTAGTCACGAGAAACAAGATCCCCCCCCCCCCACATAGGCTTTGCACTCCAGCCCTCTTTAGGGAAGAGCGTGGGTGATGGAGCTGTGGCCTAAGGAAGCTCAGGGATGGAAGGAGACAAGGTAAGTGGGGGGTGGGGAGCGCTGGGAGAGAAAAGGCCCCAAATATGGAGAGAGATGTGGAGACTACACAGATGCTGAGGTTGCAAGAGGCAGTCAAACAAGTGACAGTGGTTCTCATGCTAACGCACTAAATGGATACATGATCAGAACTTTGCAGTCAGGCAGATAGGAGGCAAGATGATATTACAGTAGGGCTTCACAGGTGTAAACAAACCTTAGAGAAATAAATTCTACTACCAGAGAGGAAAGTATTATCTTCTTAACGTTAACTGTAATGGCTGTGTACCAGAATGGAAAATTTGAAAGGAATGCCAAGGTTTCCTGAGATTAACTAAAGACTTATGTAGGAGAGATCCTTTTTCCCTCTCTTGGTGAGTATTCTGTTTTAAAACAAATGATTTACAAAAAAAAAAAAAAAAAAAAAAAAAAATCAATTTTATTATGATAATGGGTTATGCCAAGGAGCAGCTGGGCAGACCATTGAGTGTACATTTTCTTAAATGTCAGAGGGGCATGTTTTAAGTTAATAAAGATTCTATTAGACATGCTCTTGTAGCCATGGTACAAAAGGTGTCTTGTCTAAATAAATTTCTAAAAGAAACCAAACATTAGGAGTCTTCATCATAAAGATATCTTGTTAGGTATAATTAAAACATATGCAAGAGGTGAGAAAGCAGCTATCTCAACTCGAAGTACTTTTCATCTGCTCTGTGTCCCCTCAAACAAGCTAGTGTCAGGGGAGCAGAGTTCCCACACAGTGGTGGGTAGAATGTGTTGAAAGGCAGTCAGGAGCGATACCGAATGAGAGGGGAGAAGTCCAGCCAGGCAAGAGGAAGCAGCTCCAAGTGTGGGCAGCCCTGGCTGCTTGGCTGCTTGGCAGCAGACCTCAGGTGTGTTGCCCTCGAACAAGCCAGAAGGCCCCTGAAGCCCGGCCAGCGCTTGGGCAGTGAGTGGATGGTGTTGGGAGCTGTGGGCGGCCGCTCACCTGATCTGCATGCCTTTACTCCAGGAGCACATGTCCTTCCGCAGGAGGAGGTTGTTCAGGGTGATGGCCCCAACAATGTAGAACATCTGCTTGACCACCTGCTTGATCAGTTCAGGGTCCATGCCATGCTGACACATGACTGAGTGGAACGAGTTGAGCTGCCGGAGGATGGAGTCCAGTGTGTAGGTGCCCTCATCTGCAATGCTGGAGGTTCGCTTTCTCAGCCCTGTGGGCTTCACCCCAGACACACCCTGGATGGTTTCATGCTCCAGCATGCCAGACACTGCAGGGGGAGTTCACGTGTTAGAAGATGCCTGTTTCATGCGTACACATGCCTGCTCACACAATGCATGCATGTACTCTCAGACATTCAATTTAGGAAAATGATCTGAGTCTCAAGAGAGGGGAAAACAACTTTCCAAAAAAGGGCTTCCAGGTTTTGAATTTTAATGAAGGAATAATTCTTAAATGAAAATATTTATGAAATTAAGAAATTTTAATGGTGCATTTGCTAAAATATGAAGCAGCAGCCTTATAATAGCACAAGCCTGGGATATCTTGGGAGGGTTTTTGAGAAAATGCAGCAGTTAGGGAGAGGATAAGTTATTTTCCAGGGATATCTGAGCCCCACAGGCAAACCAAGTAGCAAGACCGGCAGGAGACTGGGCAGTGGTCATGGAGAAGCCTTGGGAGGGGATGGTTGTGTGGGGCTGGAAAATTGGGCCCTTCCTTGCCCTAGCTTTCCATGGTAGCAGGGAAGCTTTGGGTTAGCCTCAGCATCCCAGAACTCGGTCTTTTCAAATGTGGGGCACTGCTCCCTCTATTGTGTCCTCACAGTGTTTGACTTTGGCTTATGCCTCCTCCTCCAGGATGGTTATGGGATGATTACTCCCTGGATTGGCAGCCCTTTGAGAACAGGGGCCAGTTCTGATTCGGTTTATATCTCTTATTCATTTTATTTCTCACAGTGCTAACTGCAGCTTCCACAGAACCTCAGGCTGACACAAAACATTGGCAGTTGTTATCAAATGACTGGGAGGTGGGGGTAGTAGTTTACAGTGGGACATCTCAGAGCTAAGCTTACTGTTTAGTCAATAAAAATAGGCAGAAATAAAAGAAATATTAGCTGAAGTTGACCTTCTTTGCATCTGTGTTGCTTCTTACATTTTAGCTGACCTACGTTGCTTTGAATACACAACCATTAGGGGACAACTGAAAAATTGACCACTGAGGTTGTACCCTGAAGAAATCACTGCCAAGAATCTCCCATGGCTTTCTCAGCCTTTTATGACTATGGTTGGTTTACTGTGGGCCTGCAATGGAAGATGGGAGTACTAAGGGCAACGAAGAAGTTGTAGAAATGTAGAAGACACACATGTGGAAAAAGAAAGGGTAGCTTGGGAGAAGCCTTAAGTAGCTGCTGATCATTTGCTTGAAGATAACAGAGTTTGGTAACTTAAAGCAAATTTAATTCAATTCATTCAAAATTAGCAACCTGCAATTTATATATGCCTCCTAATTCCTACTTTATACATGCTACACATTCCCAAGGAATATAGGCAGTGCAGTACAAAAATACACACCCAGGGTGAGTAGACACATTTAAAGAGAGGTATGTGGACTCACACACCTATTTCATATATAGAAATATACACACACGTGCACACCCCAGTCACTTATATCCAATGAGAAACCACTACTTTAAAACCAAATTACCTTTAACAATTCCATAGGGGCCTTGAGATGTAGAACTCATCATGGAGTGTCTGAGACCTATTCTTGTTGCCGTGGTACCCCCAACCCTTTTATTGTAGCCTAGCAGGAGAAATGTAAACTCTCCCCAACTTCCTTAGTTTTAGATAGATCCCCCCCAGGAAGCCCTGTGTAAGAGTTTTCTAGACCAAAGTTTGTTTATTTATTAAAGATTTTATTTATTTATTCATGAGAGACAGAGACAGGCAGAGACATAGGCAGAGGGAGAGACAGGCTCCTTGCAGGGAGCCAATGTGGGACTGGAGCCCAATGTGGGACTTGATCCCAGGACTCCAGGATCACGCTCTGAGCCAAAGGCAGATGCTCAACCCCTGAGCCACCCAGGCGTCCTTAGACCAAAGTTTAAAGTGTTTTTGAGGGGTGCCTGGGTGGCTCAGTCAGTTAAGCATCTGCTTTTGGTTCAGGTCATGATCCCAGAGTCCTGGGATGGAGCCTGCCTCAGGCTCCCTCTACCTGCTGCTCCCCCTGCTTGTGCACGTGAGTGGGCACGCTCTCGCTCGCGCGCACTCTCTCTCTCTCTCCCTGACAAATAAATAAGTAAAATCTTTTTAAAAAATAAAGTGTTTTTGAAAATTGGACAAAGAATGAGGTATATTGCTGGGTATAAAGCATAACCCAATCTCAAGGGAAAGGCATCACACTGGGGAGAGTCACTAGATACTGCCCTTTCAATCATGTGGAAGCAGTGATTTTGATGTACCCCAATTAGTCATGGCTGGGGTCCTGGGATTCCTCAGCTAATTTCAGGACTGAGTCTTACAACTTTATGTTCTTCATATGAAGATATGCCTCAAAACAAGTGCTGCTGGTGGGCACGTGAGGCAGGCAGACCTTGATGTCGGCCAAGCCCTCGCCTTACCGATCATTGGCTGAAGGATGTTCTCTAACACCCGCACAAGCTGCTGGTAGATCTGAATAGCCAAGTCACTTAGCACCTGCCGGTACTCAGCCAGGTCAAAATTGGTGAGACAGTGTTCATTCTGGCGAGATGTGTTGTGTTTCATAAAGCCCTGGTAGAACCAGAAAGCAAAGTTAATGAGACCCATGTGAAATAAAATGTCTCTTCTAACTCCTTTGTTTATTAGATTCCTTTGCTGTCTTTCCTCTGAAGAGTTTCCATCTGTTCCACGCTTGAATGCCAGATAGTCATTCTCAAATGCTCTGTGTGTTTGTTTCCTTCGTATCCCCCTTCCACTCCCTATTAGTTTTTGAATAACATCTAAACTTGGCAAGCTAGCATTTAAGCCTTTCCAATAGCCATGTCAGTGAAACAAGACAGGGGAACATAATTTGAAAAAAAATTAATGAGTGTTTTCATTCATGATGCAGCAGGTTTACTGCCAAACACCAAGTTATCTAAAGTATTAATCTCTTAACTTCAATTCCATTAAATACAGTCCTATTTATAAATACTGCCTCTGGAGGGCACACATAATCTGAAAATAGACCAAGAGGTTGATCAAAAAATAAAAAAATTCCCTTTATTACATTTCATGGTAATGATACATGATTTTCCATCCAAGATTAGAATGGAATTTTTTGGTGGTATTAGTTAAAATGGAAAAGCAACTGTACAGGCAGGTACTTTTGTCAGACATTGCCTGCTTGATGGATTCTACCCACAGTCAAGCACGTGCCTCCCTACACAAACGACCTAACATGGTCTTGAAGTGGAGACTGACAGGATAACTAATGGCCCCTCACAGCAATTCTAGTCTGTCTGTCCCATGTTCTCACGGGCTGTATCTTACTCATATTTGTATTTTCCATCATTTGCCAGGACAGTCCTCTGCCCCTAGCCTCTGGGTGCCTAGAAAATGCTGCTGGTCAGCTTCTCTGCCTGCCTTCCAGGCAAAAAATGGAATGCATGGGCAGCAGTGGGTAGGGGCACAGGCTGTCAGAGGCAGGCAGCCCCAGATCCCAGCTCTGCTCCTTCTGACTAAGAGAACCCAGGCAAATTGATGAACTTCACCGAACTTCAGTTTCTTCATCTGTAAAACTGGATTATAATTTATACCTCACAGAGATGTTGTAAGAATTAAAAATCATAGTGTGCAGTAAGTGCTGTCTGATATTCACTGAGTAGGCCTTAATAAAGAATATTAATATATTACATAGTTTTGAAATAACAGTTTTGAAGTCTATCAAGTACCTGATGAACCTATCACTGCAAATAAAAGCAAAACGGGTTTTTGGACCAATCTAAAGAGATATGCCTCAGCTTGATCACCTTTTATGTATTATCAAAAGCCAAAATTCTTTAAATAGTTCAATATTTTTCATATCAGTCCCCAAAAAGCCCATTTCCACATACTGACGAGGTTTCATTGCTCATAACAATTCATTAACCAATGCTCATTGTATTTCTGCTATGCTTTCTCATAATACAAACTCTCAGAGGGAAGAAACTATGTTGCTCTCTAGTTCACTGTTTCATAAACAATGGACATCAAACAAAACTATGAGCTTCCAAGCCACTTCTGAATTCAGGTTTCTAAATTAACAAATGGTTAAATGTTTTGTGCTTTAAAATTTTTCCTTAAAGGGGTCAGAGAAAATATATCATGCTGGTTTTGTAATCAAGGTTTTCTCACCTCTTCTCCACTGTACTGCTTCAAACAGTGCAAAAACCGGCATGTGTTAGAGAGCCAGAAGGAGACCGTTTCGAAATCATCACCTCTTTTCTGAAGGAGAGAAAAAGGCTACATTCACTTTCCTTAGGGAGATAACAACCTGAAAGGAACTGAACAGTTACCAGAAGGCCCACTTCTCTCAGTTACATTATAATTACAAAAAATAAATAAAAAAAATAAATCAGACTGCAATTGTAGTCTTACATCATTGCTAGAAAATTTCAACCCCATATTTGTTGGTTGGTTGTTACTTTGCTTGGTATCTATTTTCTTGCCATTAGAAAAAGATGCCCGATCATTCTGCTGGTATTAGCTTAGCCTAAGTCCCTTTCGGCAGAAAACAATTCATCCAACCACAGCTTACCCCACCTCACTTCCCTCAGGGTTACTGAGAGGGTCAGAGGGGACTAAAGCACAAGAGGGAACTATATACCAGGAAGTGCTGAATCCCAGATTAGGTTAGTTGTATCAGTGATACAACTCCTGAACAGAGAATCCGAAGTGGGGTGAAGGAAATCCTGGGCAGAAGAGAAGAGAGGGGGGAGCTGAATGGCTCTTCATCAGGACTAGGGTACATGCCAAATAACTGGCTGCTAAATCGAAGGCAAATATACTTCAGTTCAGAACTGGGATGAGAGGCAAATTCACAACAATTTTGAAGGGCATCAAGAATGCGTTGTATGCTAGTACCCACTCCTTTTTAATTTTTTACCAAGAATACATGGTATGTCATTAGTATACTATATAATGATCAGTTAAATTAGAGGAATGTCTTCCTGCAATTAGGATGAGAGGGAGAAAACATGATTTGATTCTGCTATCTTCCTAGGAATTGACTTACAAATTAGTAACACTTGCAGGCTAAATGCAATACAGCATCAATATACCAAAAATGAAATGGGTTACATCAGAATACCTCCAACAACTTTTTTAAAGATTCTATTTATTCATGAGAGAAAGGGGTGGGGGTGCAGAGACACAGGCAGAGGGAGAGGCAGGCTTTATTCAGGAAGCCTGACACAGGACTCGATCCTGGGTCTCCAGGATCACGCCCTGGGCTGAAGGTGGTGCTAAACCACTGAGTCACCCTGGTGCCCCCTCCAACAATTTTTAAGTGTGAAATCTTCAAAAACTCCATGCTTTGGTAACTATCGGGAAACTAACTACATAGAATATCTGCATAGCAGGGACGGAGAACCAGCATTTGTCAAAGGTTCACCACCAGGGGCTGCACAGAGGGTGTGTTTAATGAGAAGAGAACTTCAGGTGGAGAACATGAAAAAGTTCTGGGGTGGGCAATGATAATGGTTGCACAACAATGTGAATGTACTTAATGTCACAGAAACATGCACTGAAAAGTGGCAAGGTGGTAAATTTTATGTTTTGTGTATTTTACCACAGTTTTTAAAAAAATAATGAAAGACATACTAGATTTGAGAACATCCACTGGGCATGTTAACTATCCACTTATCTCCATCCAAAAAGTTTTCATCCAACTTCAGTTAGATAATCAGAAAGCAAAGTACTCGGAACACATTCTCTTAGCTCCTCACAGAAACGTGTGAGTTAAAGTTAAGTATAATGTTCATTGTTTTTCTAGAGAGGCAAGAGGAGGAGGTGACACAGTGATTACTGAGTTATGCAGGTCTTTCAATTTTATTACATAATTCTGCTGCCTTTTCCAAGCCTTTCCTCTCTGTTTAGTATCTGTTGCTCCTCACATGGAACCAGGCATTTCAGGTAACAAGGAAAATTATGGGGTGAGTTGGAGAATAACAGGAAGAAAAGTTGGAAGAAAAAATTTAATGTTTTATCAGCCATCTCGTTTATGAACAAGCCATGTCATGTTGAATTTACTTAATACCTTTTTAACTTTTTAACTAGAGCATCATATTCCCTATATATATGGACCACACTAAATATTTTTAATTTATTTGTAAGATCTCAAAACAGACTATTTCTATTTTGTTTATGAAGAAATTTACTCTGCAGTTTAATGCAATTATATCAAATTAATTTTAATTACTGTTAAACCTGAGCCCCACTGTACAAGAAGGCATATAGACATGTTGCAAGGAATGCTGTCGACAGTGTAAGTTATCAGTTAAGACTGGAAAGTGTTCACATCTGGCAATTTAGCTCCAATCTAAGAAAGGAAAATACCTTGGTGCAGATTCTGTCATCATTAAGGTTCACTATGAGAATTTTGTGGAACATGAACTGACCTTTAATACTTTTTTGATGCTGTTAATTGTTGATGTTAGCAACGACCTTACTTTCTGATCATCATTCAGGTAGTCAGCATGTCGAACACACATAAATAGGATATACGCTGGTAACCCTGGAATCAAATTGACTGCCACACCACGTGGCTTCAGTTCTGAAAGGGAATGGAGAAAAATAAGCTTATGTAGCATTGAAAATATTCTTAAGGAATGCTTTTATGAGATATAAAAGCACAGTTCTCATGAAAGAATTCAATCATTCAGGGTTAATAGGTCATATTAAAAAAACATATTTCAAAAGCTCAACAAGGGGAGAAATTGTTAAGGGTGGGGACATGTGAATCTTACAACTCCCGAATTTATATCTCTTGCCTGGACTTCTCCCATGAACTCCAGGCTCATGTATCAACTGCCTTCTTGACACCTCTGCTTAAGCATGTCAAATTGAGTCTGTTTCAAACAGAACCACTGATTCCCTATGGAACCTGCTTTTCTAGGAGTTGTCCCCATCTCAGTAAATGGCTGTTGCAGACTTCTGGTTTCTCAGGTTATAAACTCTGTCAATATCTTTGACTCCTTTGTTTTCTCACACTACATGTCTAATTCAACAATAAATCCTGTTGGCTTTACCTATAAAACACATTCGGAAACTTACTCTACTAGCTACCCTAGAACAGGCCACTATCATCTTCTCCTGAACTATAGTGATGGCTTCCAGACTAGTCTCCCTGAATTCATCCTCTGCTCTCCAGTAGCACATTTTTCACACAATGACTGGATTAATTCTATACACAAACGCCACTCGTGTTCTGAAAACCTTCCAGGCTTCTTCTCAGTCATTTATAAAATCGAAAATCTTCACTATGTCTGTGTGATCTGGCCCTGCTCCCCTTCCCCAGTTCACAGTGGTCTAGTAACACTTCTCCCTCTCATCCTAATTGCACAGGGCTTACGTACTTACTATTTTCTGTCTAAAATGTTCTTTCTGAGACACCAGGATGATCTGCTTCCTTGCTTCCTTTGATCGCTGTCCAAGGATCAACTTATCAAAGAGAACTTTCTTGACAACTTTATATAAACTATTTCACTTGCCTTTACTCTTTATCCTTTTACCCCATTATATTGTATTATTTTTTCTCTATTCCCCCCATGCCCCAATGTAATATTACAAGAATAGGGATCATGAATTACTTTATTCATTACCCAGTACCTAGAAAATGCTTAGCATTTGGTAGGAGCTCACTAAATGTTTACTGAACTGATGAATCTTTGTTAACTCTATGCTTAAAAATCACAGGCTTCTTAACATTTTTGCTAAATGAAGGTCATGTTGAAACCTAAGTGCCTCTGCTCCTATATATAGTACTTGGTTTAATGCCACAAACCTCAGGAATATTAAATCAGGTATAACTGTCAATCACATTGCTGTCAGCCCACACCTGCTGGGAGGAATGCTACACAAAGGCTGAACACAGAAGTTTTTCCCTTTTTCAGTTCTTAACTTTCAGGCTGTGTGCACTCCCAACTCATTTCCCACCCTCCCTTAAAGAGTCTTCTTGCAGAACTAGTGGGCTTACACCCCATCTTGCCCCTATGCTGCTCTGAAATGTTTCTTTCATGTCCATTTCATTTGTCCAGTCTTCTTCCCTTCCATAGTTGGAATCTTTTCCTCAATTCTTTGGTTTCTTCCCTATTACCAAAGTGTTATTCTTGACACATATAGTTGTGAAAGAAAGCAAGGGAAAAAATGAAACTTAGTAAGTTAAATGGCCCAGAGCAGTGGTGTTCAGCTGTGGCTGCACTTCAGAATTCTCTGAAATATTGAAAAAAGTATATTTGACATGGCCAGGCTCTTCCCCGTAGAGATTCTAATGTAATGAGTCTATGGTAGGGACCATACACCAACACTTCTCAAAAGCTTCCCCAGATATTCTGATTTGTAGCCAGAGTGAAGAAGGTCTGGCTTCAAAGGATCCTTATAGGTAGATCCTATGTAAGTCTCCCTGCAGGGGATAAGGCATGACGTGGTCAGGATGCTACCACAGAAGGATAATGCAGTTTGCAATGATGACTAAAGAAACCAGTGTTGAGTATCTTAAAAATTAGTGACTAGTCTTTCCCATCACTGACTATATGCACCAGAAAGACCTTCTATTCCGTGCAGAAAATACTTGCCCAGAATCAGGTTCTTGACAAGCTTTTGCTCATCTTCCTTCTTGTATTCCAGCATTCCTTGGAAATCCTTTTCTTTCCTGGGAATGTTAACTGGACGGATAGGTTCATCAATGATCTGTCCTGGAGATATGTTCTCCATCTGGCCCACTTCATGAGAAACAAAAAGGAGAAGAAAATATTTTCCAGGTAGAAAAGATACAAGGGTTCCACATTCCAATAATTTGAAATGAACTCTACGGCAACATAAACTTGACATATTTGCCACTTAATTATTTCCTCTTTAAATACCTTTTTCTCCTAAAATTAGGTGGATAGATGGCAAAATTATATGGTAATGTTACTCCAACAGCCACTAATGCCTGGCTACTATCAACATCAAAGAAAACATTTGCTGTAAAAACATTTTTTTTTTTTTTTTGCTGTAAAAAAATTATTTTTGGAATAAAGTTTCCTTTGTCAAAAGTAAGGTTAAATGTCCCCAAAATAAGTGGTTTAACTTCTTGGTTAACCAATCAGCATCATCATAATGTTTAAGATATTTAGACTTTAAGTCACAGAAAGAGAAAAACAGTATTCTACAAAGAGGCAGCAAGAGTATCAAAGATTTCCCCTCACATTGAGCTGTATGAATCCAGTCATTAAAGAAAAAGAACATTTGCTTTAAATGTATCATTGCAGTCAGTTCAAACCACATCAAGATAGCTGGTAGATAAGTATTTCTTCACACTAGTTGATGTGAAATGTATCATTTTTCACAAAGGCCTCATAAGGCAAAGACCTAACTTTCTTCTGCTACCCTTCATTCTCAAAGAAATTATGAACAGATAAACGCTTTTATTTAATATGATTTCCTAAATATTATTCTGTCTTTTGCTTGTTTGTTTTTAGTCAAGTGCTTTAAGTCTTAACCATGAAGCTGTAACCATTAAAGTACAAGCACTGGTTAATGGCCCTTTGATGTTAAAAATGGTCACTATTGTTAATGGCAAATGCTAGAGAAGGATTATGCTAAGAATTAAAAGAAAAAGGTCTCCAATTTCATTGCAAAAATTGAGAATTAAATGAGAAATGCAAGGGAAGGTAAGGGAACATAGAGTTATGATGGTGTTTGTGAAAATATATGCTACTACTAAGCAGGTTTTTAAATTCTTTTACCTATAGGGAGAGGGCAGTTATCTAGGGATAGATTGAGTTGAATCTGTTGCCAGACACAATGCAGATCAGAAGCATTAGAAAGTTTAATGTTGCTTATTCCCCAAGGTATCAGTAGTTCTTCCCCGGTCACTCTGGGTAATTTCCTGTGTTAGTTCTGGGAAGCCAGTTCCACAGGACAAGGTTATCACGGAGAACACCAATACCTGCCAGTATTCTTGCTTATGTGGCAGAGAGCCAGCCTAGTGCCACCCCGTCCACCTCATGCTGCAGCATCACACACCAGGATTATCAGCGCTGAAAATCACCACCGTCCATCAACACTATAATATCTAAAGAGTGACCACATTGTGACTGGACAAGTCAGGGCTGTGGCGTCTAGTGCTTCATATGCATGGTAAAATATACGTCTCTATACAGGAGACAGGAGATTCAAGCCATTTAGTTTTGCAAAGATTACTTCTGGAGTCAGTTTAAAAACAACAACATGAGGATCTCAGAATTAGCAGACAGTGACCTTCACAGCTCATGTACACACTGCATGTAAAGTACAAAAGAGTAAAATCCCTACCATCCATGTTACTAGTCACTTTGAGCCACAGAAATAATTCTGGGAGGAAATAGATTCAACATATTATCTTTATCAATAAAAGTACCTATTTGGACTCTAACCCCGAGAGAATGTTTTAAAGCCCACTGATTTCATCCACTGGTGATGAGATATACCATTATTTTACATAACACTAAAGAAGGAAAAACACTGCCAATTAAAATGCAACCTGTCAATAGTTTCTGAAAGATGCAACTTAATTTAAGATGTTAAAATGTAAAAATTTGAGCACCTCAGAATTTATGAAATATGGTGAATATTTTTACTAGGAGATCTCACATTTTAAAAGAAAGCTTACTTTCTTTTTACAAAACCTTTAACCAAGATATTTTTGGTTCTGCAAAAAAATGTCCGAGATGGTTTTCCATATTTTCATTAAAATTTTCTCTCTGCTTTTGAATTGTCTTCAGATATTTGAGTTTTCAAAAAAATTCATAGATAAAATATGGATGTCAACTCAACACAATTCTGATTTTTTTAACAAGCCATCTACTAATTAAAATGTCAGTCTTTATGTATGCAGCATCAGGAAATTATAGGGCCTGAAAGAAAGAAGCTGGGACCGCATTTCAGTTTTCAAAGACTCATAAGACCTTAGGGGTCATTTGGTCCAATGTTCTATTACAGACTTTCTTCTAAAAAAAACCTGAAGCAATACCTATTTTCATTTTCTGGATTCTTTATATTTGTGGGAAAAATATTCCTGAGCCTTTTTGTCCTGGAAAAGGAAAGGAAATTGGGCATTTTTTAAAAAATTTAATTTCCCCACTTTGGAACCAGAAAGATCTTGATTTCAGGTTTAATGGAGACAGGTGAATAAATTCCTATAAGTAGAGAGGAAAATTGGAAAATATGACAGCAAGGAGAGAAGTCAGTCATTCCTGGAGGCTTGGGTTCTGGTTCCAGTTTGGCTACTCACTGGCTGAGACCTTGGCAGTCCCTTATGGTTTCTGGGCCTCTGTTTTTTATGCCTATGAAATAATTAACTGATTTCTAGAATTCTTTTAGGTCTAAATTCCCTGACTTTATGAAAGTTGAGATGGAACACCCACTCCTGGATTAAAATATAGCACAAAGCCGATCAAAATTTGAAACACTCTCTATTTAGCTTTATAATTTCTGCTAAAAATTATATATGTTGGCATTTAAAAAAAAAAGGCTTCACTGGCTTCTAAAAAAGTCTCCTTAATTAAGGGTAGCCCATAGAAGGAGATAAGAATCTTGCTATTTTAAACCAGAAGAATTTAAGTATATTATATTTAGAGAAAAATACAAGAAAACTTAGTTTTTAAAAAGGCTTTTGTTGTGGAAAGTTCCCTGTATTTCCGTATAATGGAGGATAAGGAAATAGGAAGACAAAAGTGTTAGAAGAGCTTGTTACCTTAGTCTCTAATTTAGGGGAGGAGTACCCAGCATGAGCCCAAGTCATATACATTTACTTCATTTTATTCTTTAGTTTTGTGTTATTTAATTTCAAATATAACTTTTAAGAATATGATGTCCTTTTGTTTAATCTATGAAGTGCCTTCTCAAATGCTACTTATAGGTTTGAGAATACAGCTGGTGAGATAGTTTAATTTATGAGATTGATTTCTGATTGATAATAGCTTAAAATCGCTGACATCTTGAAATACTGTAACCTATCTCAATTAAAATATATGTATCAAAGAAAGCTGAGTAAAAACTTAAAATAAGTAGCTTTGCTATTTATCAAATTTTACTAATGTATTACAAAGAAATCATTAGAAGTTTAAAAAAATAATCTACCAATTAATATCCTTAAAATCAGTTCTTTCAGGCACTCTTGTCTAATTATCATCTTATGATATAATTAAAGCAGAGTTAAGGGCAGAAAGGTTTTCTGAATAAAGATTTTTTAAAGTTTTATCAATAGACATTATAGTCCATGTGTGTGTCTTGGGAGGTTCAAAGTTTTAGTGTAATAAGGAGTCATGTAATGCTAAAAAGGTTTATAAATTATGACTGCAAAATAATTTGTCTGATTTCTACAAAAATATTTCAGCATTTGTACATCCAAGAGAGTACATTCAAAGTAAACATCTATGCCATCATTCTAAATATGTTTGGAACTTATTCATTCAACAAACATTTAAGGAATGATTATGATAGGTCAGACACCATGCTAGGTAATACTGGTGCTATGAAAACAAGAGGAAAAAAGTTGTGGACCCTATGTTCAGAAAGCTCATGTCCATTGAGGAAGCCAGTGATTCAAACGGAAAAATTGCTAACTGTGGTCCACAGAGGGCAGAGCCATAAAGCCTGTCTCGGTGATCAGGAGAGGCTGCTCTTGAGGATGTGACATATGACTCTGGTCTCAAAGGATGAGCAGGACTTGACCAATTAGGAAGACCAAACAGAAAGGACAGTTGTGACAGACCTTGCATGTTGAGAGAATGAAAACCATACAGAGTTAACATGGTAGATTCTTCCAAACACTCCAAACTATGCAGAGTGACATTGAGAGACTAGATGGGTAGTCAGACTACAGAGTATCATTTTTGGTCAAAAGTGTATAGGTGTGAAGGCAATTCCAAAGAGGGTCTCTAAATCTCTTGAACAATGAGAACGGTATTGGAATAAACTTAAAACCTGGCTTTATCTCCATTCATTGCTATATCTCTGGCACCTAGGTAAATACTTAGTGAAGGAACCAACACACTAATCCAAAAGACAAGATTCATTTGTATATAATTACAATTGATATTTGATCATTTTTTTCAAGCTGTTTTCCCATTATCATATGTAAATTGTGAAATGTTAAAAAAATCTTATTTCTTTGTAATCATAAATCATTTTTTCTCTTTTTTCTCCATTACATTCTGTGAGGACACAGACTTGTCTTACTCTCCTTAATATCCCTAATACTAATTGTAATAATAATAATAGTTAAGTTGTATACAGCATTTACTATGTGTCAGGGAACACACTAAGTATATTACACACATTAATTCATTTCATCCTTACAAACTGTCAGGTAGATGCCATTTAACATAGATCATTCCCATTTAACAAGTGGGAAAACCGAGGCATAGAGCGGTTCAATAATTTTCCCAATATCAGATGCCTAATAGAAGAGTTGGGAGTTGAAGCCAAAAAGCTTGGCACCAAAATCCATGTGCTAAACCTCTATATTTGCCAAGCCCAGTGTCTGGCACATGGAGGACAGTCACTAGATGCTTGTTGAATGATTTCTCTCTCTTCGTGAAGAACGTTTTTCCCTACCTAGCAATGGATATTTCCACTCCACAGAGGTCAGATTTGCTGAAAGTCAATTTTGTTATCATCCCTAATATTCACATGCAAACCTGTTAGACCACTGGCATAGCAATACAAAATCAAGATGCAGCAATTGTTGTAAAAACGTGTTAAAATACCTTCTAGTTCACCAATTTTCTTGGCAAATACTTTCAGTTGTTTTTTCAGTTTCCGAACTGTCTTATCTTGTTTTTCAAGTTGTTCCATCAAGTCCTAAAGATTAAAATGAGAAATATAATAGAAAGATCAAAATAGGCCTTCTAAAATGTACAAAAGGAAAGCAGACACAAAATCACAGGAACACTGTTAGTTTTACATAAAAGCTCCAGAAAAGCTCGCTGGTGGAGCCACCACCTGGCTAAAACTGGCAGGCATGGGAAATGCAGCTACAATAAAAGCCAAATGTTAAAATACACACTGCAGTAAAATCCTTTACAGCGTGATGGATAGCGGGCTCACTGGGGAGTCTTTTCCAGTAGACTCCTTGTTGTTAAAACAATTAAATGCTTGTAAAATGTACTGCTTTTTTCAGTAGAATGCTTTCTCTCAAGGGGGAAGAGGCAAAATAAATTTGACAAGTGCTCAAAAAGTTCTGTGGGAAGTTTTAAGGATGGCTGAACTTAGGTCAGGGCTCTTGGCCGACCCCTGTGTGTGAGAAGCACGGTCTCTTTGAGACCTACCCTTTGGAAATGTTGAAATTAGTCTTATAACTTAAGAAGTTTGGGGGAAATAAAAGGTAAGTTGAAAAAGAAACACAGAGAAAGGATAAAGAGTGGTCTGCTGACCTAGGTCCAAGTGGCAGGTGGTATAACACACCCATAAAATTTCACAGGCAGAATATTTTGCCTTTATATATATATAAGCAAAGATATAACTTTGCTTATTGAAAAAAGGGGGGAATTCCAAGTACTTTGTATGCAAAACAAGGAAGAAGAAAGCCAGTACATTCAAGGGGAGAGGGTAAAAAAATGTCTCTGATGGCTATCAAGAATTCTCAAATCGCAGTTAAGAGATCAATAAGTAAGAATAAGTGGGTAACAGCAGACTCAAAGTTTAGGAGCGAAGTCAGTCAGTGCTATGTCTGGTTGCTATGCAGGTGATGGTGAAGGAAAGTATTTATAAACACAAATACTCATTCACTTTCCAGTTGAGACAGCGCAGATTTAGAAACTAGACTACTGATTCAAAGGAAATAGGTGCTAACATTTCAAAGTGCTCAGTTGTGCTTCTTGGATTTTACTTTATCTTTCCAATCACATTTTGCTTCCATCACACTGTAAGCCTATTGTTAATAACAAACCCAACGTGACAATGGACGCAGGACACTGACAGAGGTGACACCACTGGCTACAAGACAGCTGTGGGGAGAAATAGGTCTCGTGAAAGTTTTTGAAGAGATTCCTGAGGAGGGGTGGGCAGCAGTGTGCTCTTCAGTAATAGAGGCTACAAGTAGCAAGGGAGACAACAGAAATGCACTCTGAGTTTACATACAATCATCCGTTTGTAAAGTGAAATCCGATATGACTGATACTTCTTAGGGTCATCTGCATATAATTCCTCAAAATACTGAAAAAACAGGCACAATGGATATTTGTTTTTCTCTGCGTCTTTGAGGGGAATGCGACCTCTCAGCAAAATAAATTTTAAAATATTTTACAACACAAATAATGACAGTTTATGTTCTCAAAAGGCTGATTTGTCATCTGTCCATTGCCTTCTGATCTTTCCAGTAGAGATGATTGTAATTTTATATACATACACATATATTTTCATGTGCTCAAGGGTAACAGGCTATCACTCAGGTGCCATCATTTAGCAGGCTACACAGAACAGAAAGCTGGTATTTCACTCGTCAGACCTCCTCACAAGTTGTTGTATTTTTTTTTCCTGTGGCCAGCAGCAGTGCAAGGGTGAGGAGGCAAATAAAATGAAAGTGAAAATTAAGGCAATGTTGGCACTCTTGCCTGAAGGTGAAAAGACTGGTGAGAAGCTATGTGTCTTCCTTCCGTAAAGGCAACATGGGGGAGGCCCATGGAGCATGTTCACAAGTGGAGGAAGGAAAAAAGGCCATCTTCGTGTCTGTGTTGGGAAGTAGGTTGGTAAGTGGGTTATGCAGAATAGAGTTCCCAAGAACACTAAGTGTAGGCCCATTGGGCTTTACCATTCTGTTCAAGTGTTTCCTAAAGAAATGCACAATTAAGAAATTATATCATGGTTTTGAAAAGTGCATTATTCCCTATACTTAAGTTTGAAACTATTCTCCAGAATTAGTAGTCAGGTACGGAAAGTAGCTAACCTGTAGAAGGTTTTCTAAAACTCAGAGAATCTCATTAACTAGATTCTACCCCCTAGAATTTCAGAGCTTTAATTTACTTTTGTATTAGCTATGAAAAACTGCCAAGAAAATTAATAATGCAGACAAGATTGCAAAATAAATGATTAATCAACTTAGTGAAAAAATTGGGAGTTTGCCATCCAGAAGCATCTTGATTTCATGGTTTCGACTTGTATTTTAACAATCATTTATAAGCACAGAATTTATATGCACTGATCAATTGTTATAATTCAGTATATTTATAAATTCTGAGGCATTAAAGCACTGTTAGTTTAATTTAAGCAACAACATACTTGAGAGAATAATGACGTTTCAAAAATATTCCATGATTCAAAACATTTTCCCCCACAAATCTGTGATATTTCAGTCACTATGTAAAGAGTCCGACATATGTTTCTCCCATTCCTACAATGGAGCTTCACGTAGCAAGCTGCCTTCAGAGGGACAGAAGATGAAAAGAATACTTTTGGGTTTTACATCTAATTAATACAAAAGGTGGTTAAATAGAGGACACTAGAAAACGATCTGAAATATAAGTGATCACTAATGGAGTTGATTATAATAATTCAGACCGTTAAATATTCAGAGAAAATCCAAACTATTTTATTAAAGGTCATTAAAACTCTGAATTTAGGAAAAAAAAAAAAAGAGAGAAATCAACTATCAGTTCCAAATAGCTTTTCTCAAAACCAGGCTGGCACTACAATATAATATTTTCTATAGAAATGCAGAATTATAACTTTTCAATGACTTTTAACTTAATATACTTATCAAACCTAAGTAGATTTATGTCTATAATAAAAGTTATTTTGTGACAGAAATATTTTAGAACATATTTCCTGCTAAAGAAAGAAAAAGGAGGAATAAGAAATAACTTGGATTCTTTGCCAGCATTCAGAATCTGGCAAGGGAAAAAAAAAATCTCCTCATTCACTGCACTTCTGTTAGAATCAAAAGCATACAGACTTAAATCCTGATATCCCTCCACCCTGACCTGGGAGGTCTAGCCAATGTCAACCAAAAGCCACCGCTTGGTTCTGCCAACCACCTTCCCCAACCATAACTCCAACCCCTGCCCATCTGCTCGAGATGGAGGCAGGAATGGCCTTGGTGGCTGCCTGGGGACCAAAGATTAAAGCTCATCCCTAGTCTCTACTGTGACAACCAAGTAACACAGCTCCTTAAAATGGCAGAGAATCTGCAGCCAAAGGGTTGAAGCAGGTGAGCCGAGTTCTCAAGGATGTCAAAAGCCCAGCACACAGTTGGGGGAGATCTCCCAGGCTCCCCAAGGGAGGTCTAAGAATGCTCAGACAGCCCAGAGCCTTCTGTCAGATACACAACCTGTGCTTGGGACTTTTTCACGTCAACAAACACAATCACATTTTCCTTACTCTGTCTCTGCTATGGAGTGTGGAGCAAGTTTTTTCCCAGCCCATACAGATGTGTCTGCTGGAAAGGAAACAAGGCCAGTGCTGCAGGGCCAGGTGCTGCACGCTGAGGAAAGCATGGCTTACCAGGTTTTCGTTAGTCAGCCTGGTGATCTCGTGCTGCAGGCTGGCCTCGATGCGGGCCTCCGGGGGCAGCTGCAGGTTCTGCGCCAGCAGCTGCTGCTGCCGGTTGTTCTCCTCCTTCAGGCTCTGGATCTCCCCACGGAGGGCTTCAGCCTCGTTCTCGTGGCTCCTCTTCTGGGACTGGAGCTGGGATTCCAGGAGCCTGGGGAGAAGTGCACAGGTAGGAGAGGGAGATGGCACCTGTGTCTCTGCTTGCTGGGCATGAGGCTTTATGCTCGCTCGCCAGGGCAGGAAAAGTGGGGAAGCTGTAGTGTCTGTGTAACTTCTGACTTCTTTCAAGTTAAGAAACGCAAACAAGCGAAGTGCTCTCACATTTGCATCTTTCTGAATTATGGAATGCTACAAATATAACATTCTCAAAGGCCCTAAGAAATAGGAAAGTTTAAGCTCTTTTGAAAAGTTTATTAGAAATGGTGACTAAAATAGTCAATTAAAAAAACATACTTTTAATTTGGCTTACACTGTTTACAAACTAGCATTTCAGTTGGCAAAGACAGCATCTTTGCCACAAAATAACTCTGCAGTGTAGGACAAGATTACAAACTCCCTATCTCATTAAATATGCCTGTAAGAATTTCAGTGTTACTAATTTCAGGCAGAGTATGACCAGGGTCCCATTTCTACTTTCTACTCTTATCTCTGAGGGACAGAAAGGCTGGTGTGACTCTGAAATAGATACAGATTTATCCAAATCCACACAGGTCATTCTGAAATTTCACATACGTGTATTTTATATTTGTCATCTTTTCTCTCTCCCATACACTTCTATATCAATAACGTGATTTTAGAACATAGATGTTATTTTTTTTTGTGATGTGATTTTAGAACATAGATGTTATTTTTTTTCATAGATGTTATTAATAGGATGGACAAAGTGGTTGCAGCTTCTCTGAGCAAGCACCCAAGTCAGCTGTGCCTGTAAGCAAACCAGGGCATCGACTGTGGGAGTACCAGGAAGAAACGGCATCCTCCCTTCACCATGCACCCCCACTTCTATATTCACCCCCTTTCCAAACACAAAACAAAGTTATGGTTAGGAATTAACTAACATGAAGAAAGGAAAAACATTCTTTTATTCTAATCCCCTTTGTAATCAACTGCTGGGTAAAGGTTCTTGATGCCATTGCAAGCAAACGGTTAACAGCAGACTAAAAATATTTTAGTGATTATAAAATTTCAAAGACATTTGAACCAATAACACCACAAAGTTAATGATAATGGCTTGTGATTACAACAAAGCAGAATAAGCAGGAGCCCCTTGAACAAATAGCTAAGTATTTTTTTAATTTAATCACTAAAGTGGTATTTTTAATGAGACTTTAAAGATACAAATACCCCAGAGCAGATGAGTATCTGTGTTAGAAACCTATTGCTGTTTCAGTTTTATTTGCTTTCCCCTAAACACATTTAATGTGTTGAGTTATTATTTTGAACTGTAGCAATACAGGAGACCCTTCTGGTTTGTGGTTTCGCACATCTGAATTTCACAATAATCACACAGAATGCCAAATTAGGCACTCAACAGTGCAGTTAGGCAGCATGATAACATATATAAGAATACAGTCTCACAGGTGATACTTTCCTTTAGATTGGTCATTATTACAAATAAGAAACTACTAAATAATAGGTATTATTCTTTCCCACCATAGTTTGGGCTCTAATGGAAAGGTTTGTTGTTTTGTTTTCCAATCCCTAGTGATATAGCCAGAAATTTTAGTCTATGAAGAGAAGATCCTTCACTCACAGGCAGCAACTCTTAAATTCACTATCAATCCATTTCAGCTGTAATTGCATCTCTTAGTGGAGAAAATATTTAAGAAGGTACTTGGCTGAATGTTCTACATTTTACTGAAATTTACCCAGGAAGACAACTAATGTATAAGAAACACAGAAATTAAAGTCAGAAGGCCACTGTTAGTAAGAGAAGCAACAAGTTAATAACATTCCATTTTGAGGAGACAAATATAACCTGTTGGCTTGTTTTAACCCTTCATAAACCAGCCACAGCTCTCCATCCTCATTCAACTCATGGCAATCCATAGCAGGTGATCTTCCATGCAAAAGGAACAACAATGCAAAACACAAAGGGATACAGGATGGTCATGAGATGATGATGGTCAAGAGTAGCACGCGGTATTTCAATATTTCAGTAAGGCAATAAGATTGTTTTTATTAATTACAGATGGCGTTAAGACATTATCACAAAAATTACTTTTGGTTAATTTTGTACAAAATGGGTAACATGTAACATCACATGTCAATGAGTAGAGAGAAGAACAAAAAATCAAGGATTTAGAGCTACTTTTTCTGTAAAGTAAGAAATGACTGAAAAGGTGAAAAAGAAGTTGTTTTCAACATTTTATTCAGCTAGGAGAGTGATCTTTATGTCACATATTGTATAAGAGACCAAGATCAACCATGATAGTTACACACATATAGAATGAAAACGTCAGCTATTGTCTTCATGTGGCAACCGTCACAGTCCAGTTCAAAATGAAGTTTTAAGTCTTCTGAGTAGAAACTTGTTTTCACTTAATAAAAACCACTTTCCTATTTTTAAAATTGTGTTAAGAAATTCCTATAGGAGTGACTTATAATAAGAATATGTCCAAAGCTCTCAACTTTTATGACACAACTGTTACAAAGATTTTTTGTGTCAAAATTAATGTTAGATCTGGGGAAACTGCTTTTATATTAAAGATGTGACATATTTTATTAAAAGTATATATAGGGACACCTGGGTAGTGCAGTCAGTTGAATGCCTGACTCTTGATTTCAGCACAGGTCATGATCTTAGGGTCATGAGATCGAGCATGGTGTCAGGCTCCACACTCTGTGCTGGGCATGGAGCCTGCTTAAGATTCTCTCTCTCTCTCTCTCTGTCCCTTCTCCCACCCCACTCTCTCTCACTCGCTCATATGTGCCCTCTCTCTTAAAAAAATTATAAATAAATAATAATGACAAAGTTGATTACAGGCTTTTTCTATCTGGGGTATAAAAATAATATTTCTGAATATCTGCTATCAGACACTGTTCTATATCCTTCCACATGTATTATTTCATTTAGTTCTACTACCCCATTGGGTATCATTTGCCACATTGCAGACAAAGATACCGAGGCTTAGAGATAAGATACCTTGGAGGCAACACACTGGCAAGCAGCAGAGCCTAGGGCTATCTGACTCCAGAGCCCAGGTTTTTACTCTTCTACAAGACTTTTGTTGATATGAAGTGTACAGAAAGCACATTCCAGAGAATGCTCTTCTATTTACCATCTCCCCCTGGAGAGTTGATCTACTTTCATGGTCTCAATAATATTTACACTGGTGACTTCAAAATTTATATCTCAGCCCACATACCTCTCTAATTCCAGATCTATATGTTCAACTGCCTAATGGATTTCTCTCTTTGGGTGTCTTCCTAGCTGCTTACATTCACTATTTATAAATCTACTGATTATCTCCACCTTGTGCTTCCCCACACCACAGACCCAGGATCACAAAAAGCATTACCATATCCAACCAAGTATCCACAGCAGACACTCAGCCACCCTCTATGATTCTCTATTCCTCACCTACACATCTCAGAAGCCACAAGGCTTTTTGATCTCATCTTATGTATCTTTCAAAGTGTCCCATTTCTCTCAATCCCAGCTGCCACCAACCAAGTCAAGTCACTGTAATCAGTCATGCAATTACAGAAAAACTTCCTAACTGGTCTTTATGCCTTCAATCTTTTTCTACTATAATCTATTCTCTAACATAAAAGTCTTTGATAAAGTTTCATCATTAAATGGCTGTGCAAATCTTGTACCCTCAGTCAGCCTACCCAAAGCTCTTAGGTGCACAGTGACTGAGCTGTGTGCCATCTGAAACTTCACTTGTGTTTACAGTAAATAGGATAAAACTAGAATTAGGATTTTCTCAAAAGACCTTAGGAAATGTGACAAATATTTGATCTTAAATATCAGAGTCCCATCCTAGAAGTCATAGTACCTTTGTAGAATGATATGGCCAATACTGAGGTGATTCCAGATACTTCACCACTTCTTTCCACACTAAATTTCATAACTGAGAGCTAAAGTTATCCCTAAAAACTATCCCAACCATCCTGAACAAAAAATGAAAGACTAACCAAGACAGTCCAACAGTGAGCAACTGGTTTTCTTCTCAAGGCTAAGACCCTAAATATACAGAAATATAATCCCTTGATGTAAAATGCATTCCCCTTGACACCTCACATCAATAATGGTACCTTATATTAAAAATGAGATCTTAAATGGGAATATACTGGAAACCTTGAATTCCCCCTGAAGGTTAGCTGATGTCTAATAAAGCAATATATAAACACTTTGACTTACGCGCAAGAGGCTGGCTCGAAGACTAAGATATACATGATTAAGATTAAACTAAAATGATTGAAAAAAGAATAGACTTACCTGTTCGTTTCTTTCAAACCAATGTATGCTTGTGCTATTTCACCTTTATCTTTCATTTTTTGTACATCTTCTAAAAGTATTGTAGAATCTGTCATTGTATTCTGAAGGGGAAAATGACACATTTCCACATTAGCAGTCAACTCAAAAGCTTTGGACCACAGACAACATTTTTCTTTCCTCCAGAATAGGGAAGTTTACATGCCTTACCACACCTCTTCCAGTAGAGCCCCAGCTCCAGCCCCATATAACTAGAGAGGAGGGTCAGGCACAGGCAGTTAAGAGAAAGGGGTGTCTTCAGTCCCTCTATTAAAAGGGTGGTGATATTCTAGAGTACCACTGCCCTGTAAATAAAATCACTGATGGGCAATGTGTGTTTTACATTACGTGGGGTGGGGGAATATATATATATATATATATATATATATATATATATATATATATATATATATTTTTATATTCCATTAAAGTAGCTCCTTGGTGTCCCTGCCTGGTAATTGTTCTTCTTTTTATTTTTTTAAATTTATTTACTCATTAGAGACACAGAGAGAGGCAGAGACCAAGGGAGGAGCAGGCTTCTCACAGGGAGCCCAGTGTGGGACTTGATCCCCGGACCTGCGATCATGCGGCAGACGCTCAACCTCTGAGCCACTCAGGCATCCCTTGCCTGGTAATTGTTCTAATGCTATGTTATAATATAAATATATATATTTCAAAGTCTGTATATACATATGTGTGTATATACTTTATATATAAAAACATAGATATATTTCCAAGTATACATAAATCATTAGAAAAATAACCAAGTAAAAACACTGAGCAACTATTTTTTTTTATAAGGTTTTATTTACTTATCTGACACAGAGAGAGAGAAAGCACAAACAGGGAGAAGCAGACTCCTAACTGAGCAGGGAGCCTGACTTGAGGCTCAATTCCAGGACCCTGGGATCATGACCTGAGCTGAAGGCAGATGCTTAACCAACTGAGCCACCCAGGTGCCCCGACACTGAGCAACTACTGAATGAAAATAGAACAAAAGCTATTCTTCCTACTACTTCCCATCTAGTTACACTAAAACAAATGCCCCAGTAAAACACTGTGAAGTTTGACATAAAGCTCATTTTTCCATTAAAAACTCTGTACAAAAAAGGTAGATGATATGCTTTAGCAAAATTAGTTTTTTCTCACACATTTATATATATATAATATATATTATATATATAATATATATATATGGGAATATATACTTATATATGTATATATATTCCCATATATATATTCCCATATAAATGGGAAGAATTTAGCTCTTTGTAAATATCCACTATCTGTTGTTATTCAATTCTCCTTCCCTCTGTTCCATTATAGGATGGTACATAATTTTTTGAAATACATTTCTGGCAGGTCAGCATTACTAATGATTTTGTATGAAAAGCACTTTTCTGCTCACATTTTTACCTCCTTTTTTATTTTTCCTTTTTGGTCAGCCTGACAATCAATGTAATTTCCAAATCTTGCTTCTACTCAGCTACTCTGTCTCTCCTAAACCAGAGCAAGAATAGATTAAGAATTACTGCACTATAGCCTTTAGAGAATAATACATTTTAGAACCTAAGGACCCATTCTATCTGTCTAAATAGTGTATGTCCGATCTGTTAGTCAATGTTTGTTCGAAAGGCAGGTCTCAAAATGAAGTGGACTTAATAGAAAACACTTCAAAAACCATGATCTTAGAGACCAGTTCTGAGATAAGTTCAAGACCAGTTCTTGATCAGAAACATACTTTAAAAAAAAAAAATCCCACTTTACTCCTAATGCTTATAAATGCATCCTCAAAGACCAAATATAATGGGATCCCTGAGTGGCTCAGCGGGTTTAGTGCCTGCCTTTGGCCTGGGGCATGATCCTGGAGTCCTGGGATCGAGTCCCAAGTCAGGCTCCCTGCATGGAGCCTGCTTCTCCCTCTGCCTGTGTCTGTCTCTGCCTCTCTTGCTCTCTCTCTCTCTCTGTGTCTCTCATGAATAAATAAATAAAATCTTAAAAAAAAAAAAGAGACCAAATATAATCTGATAAGAGCTTATATTTTACTAAATTTTAAAAATCTTTCCCATAAATGCTACACAGAGCTTTCTTTAGTTATGATTTATATATATTTCAATATATATTTCATAGAAATTTTTTTTATCTTTCTCTGAAAGACAGAAAATTTTTCTATTCTACAATGGGCTATACTCAGATTTTTAACTTTTAAGTAGTAACTCTCAAAGACCCAATCCCAATAGTAAATAATGCTGTATGTATTGTCTGATATCTGAAAACCTATATGATGTACTTTTGAACTTTAGGTAAATTAGGTAACTTATCCTATTAACTAGTCTAAAGGAAAGATAAACTTCTTTATATGGTGTTTTCCTTATAGTAAGCAGCCAGGCCTTCCCTTATCTGGCCTACTTTAGCTAAGAAGTAGTGGTTGGAGCATGGGATCAGAGTTGGACCACTAGCATTAGGAAATTCCTGACTCACTGCTCAAAGTTTGTCTCCCCTAAGCCAGTTCAGAAGTTTAGAAAGGGCTGCCCGATGTAGGAAAATCCTACCCTTCTCAGGAAAAGTGTGCTTTACTCTGAGGCTCCTTCTCACCCTTGACCAACAAATCCACAGCTGCTAGAAAAGAGTGTGGGATAACCTGTGCTTTTGGGTATGTTACAAATTACGGGACTCCCATCCTGGGCCCCTGTGCTGTGGATGGCCTACCACAACACTATAGTGAGTCAGAGAGCTGACTATGAATTAGAAGTCATGGAGACCTCCCTCTGATCCAGACTGGAGCCTACTATATCTATTAGTTTTCCACTGATACAGAGAGGGCTCAAATAGGAAATTAATTTGTAAATATCAAAACAGACTTGGTGGTCAGAAGCATCAATTGCATATACTGGGGGAATACTTGTACGGTAAAATTTAGGATTAAATAAAAGTATTTACTAAAAGTTTTTTAAAAGTTTTATAATTACCTTGTCATCCTGAAAATCACAAGTCAGCAAGCACAAAAAACAAACAAAGAAAACAATAAACCCTTAGTTCCATAAATAAATCCCATCAATGAACCCCATCATAACAGAAAAGCTAACTGTAAAAACCCAAAAATTAGTATTTGTGGAACCGGCATAAGGTGGACAGTAATATATATTTATGTGATAATTCTTAATTTTCAGGAACAAGTGCTTGAGATTCTTTTTGAGTTGTTTTGGGTTTTTTAAGTTGTGAGTAAGGTGAGAAAATGACCCTCCTGTTAATGTATATGGCTGAAAGTCTTATCCTAGGTTTGTGAGAGTTACAGTCAAGCTTGATAGGAAGTCACTTGTTCAAATGGAGCCTTTCAGAATACTCACAGAGGTGGAGCAGATGAAGTAGACTTGGCTGGGCTGGATTATCACCTACCTCACTGGGTGTCATTCACTACTGTCCTGCAAAGGAGCTGTGAAATGATGAGTCTTTTGGACTGGAAACTGAATGGGTTCGAAAGGTCTCAATCAGCGTCGTGGGCATTTTTCTTAGTAAAGAACAAGCTGTTGCCATGTGTAGGCTGAGAGCAGAGGCCTTGGTGAGACAGGACAAGCCAATCTGAGAGGCTAGAGAAGAGCTGTGAGCTGGGTGAGTGAGCGCATCTGATACCAGAACTCTGCGCTGTTAACTGGATTGTTTTTATGTCTCTTGGTTCATTTTATTTTTTCCTTTCCCTTAACTTTTACTGAAGTTTCTTGTGAGAATACCACTTTGTCACAAGGGAACAGAGAGAGGAATTATGATTTTGGACTCTGCTCCAGCTAGCATAAAGAGACAGTCTTCTATCTCAAGGCCCAACCACAGCAGTAGTCATGAAAACCACACTGAGAAAGCCTCAGGAAAGGAGAGACTACAGGGCCAGGCCAAAGGAGAGATTCCCCTTCCAGAATCTCCTCATTTCAGCCCAAATGGGTTTGTGATTTAAAATAAGAAAGCCCATTTCTTTATATAAATCCACTCATTCCTGGGATATTTTTTCCTTCCAAGATTAGTCGCAAATTTCTTGTTTTCAGAATTTGGTATTTTCTGGATCAGTGTTGACCTCAGTATGAGTTATCTTTCTCAAAACCAAATGTTATATGCCAGATTCATTATTTTAATCATATGCAGAACTACCATTTCAAGGAAAGTATTCTCAGATCTTCCAGTTCATTATATATTATAGTCATTTTTTATATGGTATGTCCTGAAGCTGGAATACTTGATTGTCTAATTCTTGGTAACACTTCGTTTGCTGCATGAACATGGATAGGGACACAGGCCAGGTTTTATGATGATTATCCAGAGTCTCTCCGATGGCAAATGATAAAAAGGCCCTTTATCACCAACACATGGCAGCAATGGTCTCAAATTACCCGAGCGCAGGAAGAACTTTGAAGGGCTACCTCTACCCTGTGGCATGGGTCCTTTCTGTTGACACTACATGCAGCCCCTCCCCAGTTGAGACAGCTCCCCCTATTAGACAGAACTCCCTAAACTGAGCAGAAATCATCTGCATGGAACTTCTACTCACTGATCTCGTTTCTAACCCTTTTATATGTTGTCTTTCCAGTTAAATGGGCTATTTTCAACAAGGAATTTTAAAGTCTTATTTAATGTCTTCTCACACAGCAAGACAATCTATGGATTTTTGGACTTAACAGAATTTTACTTTTTAAGAAAAGTTTACTTGTTTTATTCATTTAAGTAATTTTTATACCTAATGTGGGGTTTGAACTCATGAACCTGAGGTCAAGAATCACATGCTCCTCTGACTGAGCTGGCCAAGAGCTCTGGATTGTACTTTTGATCAAAATTTATCATGGCCAGATTACTACTTAAAGATTAATTTTAAAAGCCCTTTGTTAATGAGTGAGAAATGGGAGATCATTTTAGTTTTCATTTATTTTTTGCTCACTTTAATTGGCATTTACAACAGTTTTAAAGCAACACTGAGATTTTTTTTTAAATGACAATATCATTTTTTTGGACAATACCCTTTAAATGCTAATTAGATAAAAAATGCTCATAAGTGTTTGGTTCATTATAAATTGAAGGGAAAGGATAGAAAGAAAGAGGCCAGTCTCCAGACACCCACTTTGGTCACTCACTCATGCTTACCTTGTGTTGGATGGCCTCCTTCTGGCTCACCAGTTGGGACCTCAAGATGAGGACCTCCTCCTTGCGGACATCAAGCTCCTCACTTACAGAGGTCAGCTGCTCCATGAGGACACGGTAGGCTGGTGCCCCTGGAGCAGTCACCTCTGGGGCACTTTTCTCACTAAGGGCCTTGCGAAGTTCATTTAATTCATTTTTCAGTTTTTTGTTTTCTGATTCCAGCTCTTGACGCTGTATGAAGAGAAAATAGTTCACTGCTGTTATCCTCAACTTTACACTGGAATGCTCGTGTTCTCCTAAGATGGTAGAATTCTGCTGGAAAAGATCACCAGAGCTACCCTAGTAAACAGCTTCCCAGGCTCTACTGGGAGCTCTGTTCTGCAAATTAAGGAAGCTAACATCAAGTGCAGCTGAGCAAGGCAAATGGCAGTTTGCTTCATCAACCCAGATTCCAGAGTCACATTTATTCTGGGCCTGCCTAGGGTGTGTTCACAGGCCTGGAGAGACTGCTGAGTCCTACGGGGAGAATTTAGCCCATTCCTCAGAAGCCCAGGTTTTCTCTGCAGGTAAATATAAGGCAAGTATGAGGGTTCAGCTGGTCAGGTTATTTCCAATGAATAGTTCAGATGAACAGAACCCTGAAATCTTGAGTAGCATCCTCTTATTTCCTTTGTAAAACAGAATGGAAAGACTATTGAAATCTTAGACTTTTAACTTCTAATAAAAAAATTAACATATCACTTAAACTAATAAAATTCCATTTAGTGTTTTGATGACAACAAACAGTGTATTTTTCAAACTACTTTGACATGTGTATGACAGGCTTGTGAAGTTGCTGGCAGAAGTCTTGGGAGGTGGGAGGAAAGGATGGATTCCTTTGCCACCCAGATGGCCAAACTCATCCTTTATCCCCTCCATACTTTCACAAACTACCAGACATCCTCATGCCACCAGTTAGCACTGCTTATGCAAACTTTGCTGAAACAATGGTAATGACAACCCAGAATAGAGTTCTGACGCTAGAATACAAATGTCTCAGGATACCGGCTGGGAAACGGTAAAGCAGACAGGCCTCTGAAGGCACCATGCTGCCTTGTTTAGCACATTACACAAGGCCTTATGACTGTGGAAGTGAGATACTTTTGGGTATAAGATAAAATATTTTATTGTTTCTTCCAGACAAGCCACCTTGGGTTTGTAGGACCACATCAGACCTCTCAACAGTTATAGTAAAACTATTTATAGTCTTTTTTTTTCTAGTATAAGAATATATATCCCTTTCTTTCATGCAAATTAATCTATTCTTATGGAAAATGAATAAGCCTTCCTATCCCCAATCTCCCACCAACTGATAATCAGATTCATATTGCTCATTTCTGCAACAGAAAACATGAGTGTCTTTACTTGGACACTAAGCTCCGATGCGATGTTTCCCAAACTTTAAAGTGCATCAGAATCACTTGCAGACAGACTGCATGGCCCAACCCCCAGAGTTTCTGGTTCAAAAGGTCTGGTATAAGGCCTACAAATGTACATTTCCAACAAGTTACTCGGTGATGCTAATGCTGCTGGTCAAGGGACCATATTTTGAGAAATACTGAGCTAATATACTTGGGAAATTAGTGATCTGGGCTTCATTTTTTTTTTTTTTTTAAATCTAGGCTTCACTTTTAACATATTCCAAAGAATGTCTTATTTGTTCATTTTTGTGAGGCAGGAAGATGGGAAAGAGTTGGAGATGACAGTCCTATTCCCCTTCCATCGGCCTGTGCCATTCCATCCCATCTGATTCTTTTCTTATATGACCCATATCATGAGTTGGTCCTCTAGACGAAAGGTACAGAAGGCATCAGAGAGTCGGAATAATAGAGATGACACTTTGTTGCCACTCTTTTCTTTCTCTGCAAACATAAATATTACCTGAGAAGTACTTTCACTGAAGGAGCAATAGATTTATTCATGTTATAATTTAGAAAGTGTAAAAGGGTTCTCTAGGGTATTTTAAAAATAGTGCTTTATTTAAATAAAAATTAATTTTCAAACAAGTGACAATAGGAATCAAGACTGTTCTGAAAGTTTCCTTCTGTCTGGAGACCTAAATTCAAGATCAGACTCTGTTAATCTCTTAACTGTTCTCAGCCTCAGTTTAATAATCTTTAAGGAGGAAATAATTTATCTCAGAAGTTTGACAATGACTAAATAAGATAAGGTGCAGGAAAACTTTTCAAACTGTAAAGTAAATAGAAGGTATTATTAGTCAAGTGTTTATTAAATGTCAGTGGAAGAGTTCTATCTTTAAGGGAAGGGGCTGATAAGGGAACTGTGGGTTGGACAGGGGTGGAGGACAGGCATTCCCTGTATCAAGCTGCCATGCAGCCTCAAAAGGAAGCAGTAATCAGCAGGTCTGGACCATAAGAAGTGGAAAATCCACAGAAGACAGGGTTCTACTAACATAAATTCATGTAACACTGTTAGGAAATAATATATCAGGACCAGACTTGAAGTAATATTACTAAAAAAAAAATACAAAAATCCTTATGACAATTTAGGGAGACCCTAGGAATTCTCAAATATACATAAAAAATTCTCTTTAAAATAATGACTTTTCTTATGCTATTTCGTGGCTTTTCTAATTCTTAGCTTTGGTTATAATCATAAATCTCGCTATAGTTTTCTAGTTATTCCAGACTATTGTTTACAAATGGAGAAAATAGTAAAAAATAAACACAAGCAGAAAATGTCTGAGAAAGATAAATTTAAGACAAATAATGTATTAATAACCTAGAAAAAAGCTGGGGGTGTCTTGATTGCTGATAGCCTGATAGCTCAAACTTCACAGGGCTCAAAAGGTTCTGAATCTGGAAAGCTAAGGAAGGAACTGAGTGGAGAACAGCCTACCCTGATATTATTTTTAATTATTTTATTTATTTTTTAAAGTAAACTCTATACCCACCATGAAGCTCGAACTATGACCCTGAGATTAAGGGTCACATGCTTTACCAACTGAGCCAGCCAGGTGCACAACCTACTCTGTATCAAGGAATGGGCTCTTGTTTGTTTGTTTTAAACCTAAACTCTTGGGTTACCCAAGATACTTTGTATTTCAGAAACTCCTGTTCCTTCCTAATCAGAGCCTTTCCCTGTTCAACTGCCCAGAGACACATAGTACCTATTAGTCAGACACTGCTTTTAACCATTAAGGAGAAAACTCTACCTTCATCTTCCTCCTCCCAACAGTTTCTAAAATAAGTTAGAATACGTTTTTACTATAATACCTAGAAAACTAATACTGAGCTATCTTTCTCTACAAGCGGGGTTTGGTGGTTAGGGCACAGGCTTTGGAGCCAAAGATACCTATGTTCAAATCCTGTTCCTGTCAGTTTCTAGTGGGGTGATCTTAGGGAAGTTACTTATATTTCTTAGCTTCAATTTCCTCATCTGTAAAATGGGAACTAAAATACTTGCAGGATTATTTTAAGAATTAAAGCTGATATGTAAAGTACAGGCATTTTAAAAAAAATGATGAGAATAATGACAGGAGCCAACATTTGCTGGGTACTTACTATGTGCTGGGCACTATTCTAAACAGTGTACATGAATTACCTCATATAATCTTCATGACAGTCCTATAACATAAATAGTATTATTAACCTCACTCTATAGATGAGAACACTGAGGCATGGAAAACATACGTAACTTGCACGCAGCTATATGGTGGCAGATCTAACATTTGAACCCAGGCCATCTGACACTAGAATCCATGTCCTTGCCTACCTTCTAGAGCCTCAGATGGCAGCTACTCCTGTTTTTGCTTAGACTGAACTTTAGCTTATAGGAAATAGAATCTATGAAAAGAAATAACATGAAGCTAGAAGTAATTCCTGAATAAGACTGAATTAAGGTGTCCTTAAGGATGTTCTCTGAGAAAAAGAGAAACTCTAAGCAGGTCACTTGCCAAAACATATTCAAAGCCTTGGGCTGAAGCTTCCCATTACCTTGAGTGATTCATATTCCAGTTCTGCACCTCTAATTTGTGGTCTTTCTTCTTCCTAGGGAAAATGTAAAGTTAAAAACTTTATAAATAAGTAGTTATACTTTAATTGTCACATTTTTCCTCAGAATATTTCCTTACTCTGCAGAAAACAGTGAGGAAAGTTCAGCCCTCACTACATGAACCAAATGCTGCTTGGATAAAGTACTTCTGGGCTGAGTTTCCATTAAAGAAGAGAGTGCAGAAAGTCCCACTCAGTGCTTGGTTTGGGCACGGCCCTGGGGTGGGGTAGCACTGTGTACCTTTGCCTTGCTGCGGAGCACCTGCTCCTCCTTGCGGTCCAGCTCGTCCTGCATCACCTGCTTCTCCTGCTCCAGCTCTGTGACCCGCTTCTGGAGCTTGAGGAACAATGACATGTCCAAAGGCACCTTCTTCTCACTTGGCTCCTAAATCCCAAAAATCATAAGATGGTCAAGATGATCCAGAAGATATACAAGCCAATGAGAAAATAATGAATAGTCCAACAGAAATATAGACAAGCTTATAGAAGAAATATAAATGGCGAAGTAATATACAAATAACATGTCCACCCTAGCTATTGAGTAGAGACATGCAAATTAAACAGTGAGGCATTACTTTACCATCAGATTGGCAAAGACTGGAAAGATCAATAATGCCATGTGTTAGTAACAGCATCTTATAAAATACTGGTGGAAGTATAAGTAGGCCTTTTAAGAGGGCAAGTTAGCTGTATTTATTAAAATTTAAATGTGTATACTCCTTAACCTAACAATATACATTTAAGAATTATCCCACAAAAAGTCTTACACAAGTACACAAGAATATGTGGAAAAAGATGTTCATTGCAGCATTTTTTGTAATTGTAAAAAAACCCCAAATGTCAGTCAATAGAAGAGCTGATTAAACTGTAGTATAGTCAAGTTAAAATATTTCATAGTTGTTTAAAAAATGAAATAGATATACACAAGTGGGTAAGTATGTCCTAGATAAAAGTATTAAGTGAAAAATACAAGTTGCAAGGAAGTATTTATACTATGATTTTATTTTTCTTAAAAAAACAAATGCCCATGACTTTTAAATATACCCACCACACAGCATACAACAATCTAGAAGGCCAACAATGGTTATCTTGGAGAATGGGGGTACTATGGGAAAGTTTCATTTTCTACTTTACACATTTCTACATTGGAATTGTTTACAATGAGCATTGGACTACTTTTCTATTCAGGAAAAACGATTTTTGAAAAGGTGAAGTGCTAGCATAAATATACTGAGATCAGACAGAGAAAACTGGAAAACTAAAATATACATAGCCCTTAATAAGGTGAAAAATAACCTAGTAGCATCTGACAAGTATGTCAGTTGGTTCTAGAACAGAAGCATGGTGAGAACTACTAGTGTAAACAGAGATACACTAAAGCTGAGCAAAGGGAAAGAGAAACCACCATCATGGAAGTTGAGACTGCTCTAAGTGTTATACCTTGTTTACTTCAGGTTTGAACTTTTTTTTTTGCCCCTATTTTATTTTATTTATTTATTTTTTTAGTTTATTATAGTAGGAGGTTTGAACTTTTAATGAGGTAAGGAGAATAAGAGTTGTGTTATTAGATTTAATGGAAACAATAGAGTCTCTTTTTGTTAGAGAGAGAAGAGCAATAATGAATGGTCAAAGTAAAATTCTATATTGATTAGTGTGCATCATATTTCAGATTTTCAATTTTTTAAAAGGCTTTTATTCAGACATAAAAGCAAAATGAGCTTATTTCATTTTAAGAGAGAAGGAGGAGGGTGGACAGAGGGAGAGGGAGAGAGAAAATCTCCACTATGTGTGGAGCCTGATGCAGAGCTCGATCTCACAACCCTCATATCATGAAATCAAGAGTCGGACACTTAACTGACTGAGCCACCTGGTGCCCCAAAATAAGCTTTTTATAAAGTTCAGGAAATAAGTACAAAGAAAAAAAAATAAAACCATAATCATACCCCCAGAGAAAACCTACAATTTTTGTCCTTTTTTTTTATAGATTTAAGTAATTGGAATATTTTCATTATAATGTTCTATTGTCTTTTAAATTTAGCATTATATCACAACTTTTCCAAATTTACAATATATTTGAAACCATAATTTTTAATAGCTAAACTGTCATGTGTACCATTATTTACTTAGCTGTTACCTAACTGATGGGCACTAAAGTTGTTTCTAATTTTCTACTACTGAAATATACTAAAATAAATATCCTAGTACATAAATACCTAAATATTAATGTTTTTAAGTCTGCTAAATTAGTTTCCATTTCTATCCAGCAACCACCGCTTTGCCTGGAACAATGACTGTTATCATTAAAAAAAAAAAAAGGCTCAATTGATAGACCAAAAGTGTATTTAATTATAGTTTTAATTCACATTTCTTTGCCTTTTGTTGAGGTTGAATACTTTTTATATTTGTTAGCTATCTTTAGTCTTTTGTGAATTCTTGTGCTGAATTCAGTGTTGCTTCAGTTCTAAAAAGGCATCTCAGAAGAATCAATTAAACTATGTAATGGGGCATTTATCTGTAGGCTATTGGGGTCATTAACCCACAGACTAGCTAGACCTGGACTGCTTCTTACTGTCCACCCTTGTAATGTTCAACAGTAAGAAAAAGTTTAGGTATAAGATCTTTGCCATAAAGTCTGTCCTGACTGAGCAGAATAGATACAACATCCTGCCTAAATGTAAAATTACTATAGATTTTCATTCATATTAAAACTCATTTCTATACATCCCACAAATATTTGCAGTTCAGCTTATTTACAAGGTAAACATTCCATTCATGTATTTTTAATGTTTGTTCATCTATTAATGAAGTATGTGTCCCTGAAAATTTTAATTATTTAATCTCTTTTTACGCTATAATAGACTTCACTTCACAACTTCATTCATTGTACCTAAAACGTCACCATTTGGGAATCATCCCTCTCAATCTTGAACAGGCATTTCATTTAAAAAGAATCTTCTCATTAAAATGAGATGGGGTGGGGTGCCTGGGTGGCTCAGTTGGTTAAGCATCCAACTCTTGATTTTGGCTCAGGTCATGATCTCAGGGTTGTGAGACTGAGCCGGGTGTCGGGCTCTGTGCTAGGTGTGGAGCCTGCTTATGATTTTCTTTCTCCCTTTCCCTCTGCCCCCCCCCCCCACAGCCTGGGCTAGTGTCTGCTCGCTCTCAATCTTTAAAAAAACATTAAAAATGGGATGAGGTAACTCTTTAGATATTAGCAAATACTACATAAAGAATTAGTTGACTGCCGGATAAAAGCAAAACCCTGTAGATAGGAATACTAAAATAGGAGATGAAATAACACAAAAAAATAACATCTGACAACTGCAAAATTGCTTGAGGCACAATGACTGGTAATTATTTAAGGATGCTCTGCACAGTGCCCATTCTTATCCCTAATGATACATCTAGTTAGAGATACCACTTCTTCTCCATGCCATATGAGCAAGGAATATTGGGCCACCTGGCTGAGACAAGTTTCTGAGGTTTTGCTTTGCTTTCTTTCTGTAGAAAGGACTTTATCATCCATGGATTTTCTAAAAGAGTGAAGCTTTGAAACTGACCTAAAAAATCATGGTCTCTCATCCGAGGAAAATCCGGAAGACAAGAGAATTTATTCACAAAATTACCAGCATAGCTCTGCAATCATTCTGGAATTATTGCTAACAACAGCTGAGACGGTTGTGGTGACCTTCTCCCTGGGTTTGACAGGCGTGAGAAAGCAGAAGGACGGAAGCAGAACTGGGATAACTAGTCAGTGACTAGTAAGAAAGCTGCACGACAGCAGGGAGAAGCAAAGGTTCCAAAAGAATGCCACTCCAGACCATGAAGATGCTGTGGGCATGGGAGGGCTGCACAGCAGGTGGAGCTGGCAGGTGAGTTCTCCAGAGGGAAAGAGCAATGGAGGCGCCAGCCCAACTTGTGAACAACAAATCACAGGTTTGGCAAAGCTAGAAAGACATCAATTCTTTTTTTAACATCAAATTTTGCTATCATTACATGACTGAGACTGGAATTCCATGTTTCAAAACAGTATGAAAAATTCTTCTCTATTTTAATAAAAAAAAAAGAATCAATTCATAACCAAGAGTGGGCCCATTATTTTCCTGGGACCAGATTCTGAAGGAGCTGCTTGGGAATACTATACATAGTAGAAATGCTTCTTTATTTTGTTAGGGGCAATTTGTAAACCTGGCCATTACAGAACTAGTTGCAGTGAGAAATGCAAACCTGGAGGTCAAAAGTAATCAGAAGTGCAAATGCACAGCCATAGTCTTAGTCTGATACTTCTCTCCCATCCAACTTCCTTTCTGATAATCAATCTCTCTTCTTCTACTGACAGTTCTACAGATTTCTATCTTTCTGATTCTGACCACACCCAATCAAAACTGTAGGATAGTCACTGGAAGCCTATTTATTAGAACAAAAACATGGATTTATTGAATGCTTATTATGTATCAAACATTGTTAAAAGTGCTTTAAAAGAATTATCTCAATCTTCAAAACATCACTCTAAAGTAAGATAATAATCATAGCATATCACTTCATAGGTGAGGAAACTGAGGCACAGAGAGACTGAGGCTCAGGTTATGGACATAGTTCCAAGGAGGAGAGTTACTGTAGTCTGTCCAATAGTCAAGACAACCCTTCTAACTAGAGCCAGCCACATTTCAGATGCATACACTTAATAACAAGGAATAATATGACTAGTTCAGTGAAAAGCCTTTCCCATTATTGAGAGAAGATTTCCAGGTGCATGACCTACTGCTGATGGTCAATACATATGAAGGACAATACACAGTATTCCAGATCTGTCTGTGACTTCTGCAGCACAATTCATACTTCATTATTTAAAAGAGATGAGCAAAATACTATATCCAACTCTAAACTAACTTTTTTTTTTTAAGTAGGTGCTACGCCATTGTGGAGCCCAACTCAGGGCTTGGACACACGATCCTGTGATCAAGACCTGAGCAGAGATCAAGAGTTGGATGCTAACCAACTAAGCCACCCAGATGCCCCTAAACTAACTCTTAATTTGAAAAAAGATTCAGTGGAAATATGGGTGAGAATTAGAAACAAAAGGTTAATTCTCCCCTCAAATCTGTAAGAATTAGGACACAATTTGAAAAGAGTAGAGACCCCAACAAATATCATTACTAGTAAAAATTAGGTAAAGCACAGAGGAGTTTTTGAGGTTAAAAATGTAATGTCCTTAAACAAAACTATCAATAAGAAGCCTCTTTGCCCTAATTCTTTTTTTTTTCCCTAATTCTTTTTTAAAGATTTTGTGTATTTATTTTGGAGACAGAGAGAAAGAGAGGAAAGGAGGATAAGCAGGGGTAGGAGCAGAAGGAGAAGGACAAGCAGAGTCCATGCTGAGCACAGAGCCTGATTTGGGGCCTGATCCCATGACCTGAGCTGAAATCAAGAGTTGGATACCCAACTGACTAAACCACCCAGGCAACCATGCCCTGAGTTTAATACAAAATACTTTGCAGCAAATACACACTTTTTGTCATGGTTTTCCTCTCCCTTGCAGGAACTGTTCAAGTTGTATTACACTGAAGCCAATAGTTTGTAAACATACTTCCCTCAGACTGCTGGGAGTGAGTGCTCCCATTAGGACCAACTGGATACAATCCTAAAACTTTCATATCCACTGGAGGCTCAGAGGCTATAATTTTGAAATCTTCAAGATCTAACTTGGTGGTAGTCTCCAAAGATGGTTACAAATGATTGCTCCCAACACAAATGTCTTTTCTCCCATCAAGAGATGAAGTCCACTGTCTTTCCCCCAAGTCTGGGCTGGCCTTGTAATTTCCATGACATAGACTGTGGCAGAATTAGCACTGTGCTGGTTCTGGGCTTGGCCCCAAGAGCTCTGGTATCTTTTGCTCTTACACTTTTAGAGTCCATTCAGCATGCCACTGAACAGAGAAGTCACCTGGAGAGGCCCGAGGTTCTCTTCCTTGGGCTGGGATGCAGGGAGGTGCTCCAAGTACCAAGAGTTTACAAACTATTGGCAATACCACGTGAAGCAGAAAAACTGTCCAGTCAAAATCCAAAGAGTTGTGAACATTAATAAATTGCTGTTGCTTGAAATCCCTGCAGTTTGGGATGATTTGTCATAAGTAATGAATAACAGGAACAACCTCTATCCTGCTATATGGTGGCCATAAAACTCTATCAACAGTCTACAGTTTAATGTTAGCAGTAGAGAGAAGCGACACTGCAGCACTACGTGTAAAACCCCCGCATGGGAGCAAGTAGAGTATGGAGCTCCCCACAGACCAGCCTCAGTTAGAATACTGGCTCAGCCACTGACAAGCTGGGTCCTTGGATAAGTTAACTTAGGGTTCTTGAATGTATGATGCCAACTATATGACATTTTTCCTTAAAATAAACAGAATGAGATGGCAGAAACTTTTCATTCCTGAGTAAAACTAAGACAAAGGAAAGAATCATTCAATTTTCTTCACCGTTCGGCCAGAAGCATTCTATTTCCGACTTGGCCATTTTCTCAGAACATAATATAAAAATAGAAGAATTTTGCCTGAATTACCCATTAGTGAAACTAATATCATATTTGAAAAGAAGATCTGAGAATTGGTTTGGGAACAATCTACCTTAAAGTCACTGTACTCTTGGAGTTACAGTAATGTATCATTTTGATATCATACCACATAACACAAACACTAAGGCAGATTTATAAGCTATTTTTCTTGCATTTTTGTGGACAAAAATTACATTGGTAAAAACTATTATCAAACAGAAGCAGCAGTTTTGTTAAACTCTTGGGCACTGGTTATTTATAATTTTCAAGGACAAAAGCCTTACTATTAAAACAATTTACCTCAGTCTGAAATAAATTTATGATGGGTTATGTTTTTTTGTAATAAGACATGTTAAGATGAGAAAGGGAATTACAAAAGGGAAAATCTTGTCATCAATATTACATTAAAAATTAAAATGTCTATTGGCCAAAAAACATATGTAATAAGTTATGTAAGTACATATAAGACAATATATGTAATAATTAATAAGCTAATTAAGCACCCATTGGTGATTTATGAAATATAAAGAGTTTGAACAACTGTTACATTTATGGACAATGAGGTCCATTCTGCAATGTAAATGCTTTCTGTTAAGAACAGCATGGTCACATCCTACTTTTAGTGATAAGTATCTAAAATGTACCTCTGTCCTCAAGGGCATATCTTCAGTTTCTGCAATTTCAGAGCTAAAGGTGTATTCAGACTCATTGCTGCTGTGGGTGGAGTCTGTTCTCTTGTGTCCAGGCTTAGGCACGTTCTGCAAGGCAAATAAACCAAGTAGAATTAATACTATATAATTAAACCAGTTATAGCTAAGACAGCATCCACCTTAACTTGGTTCTAACCCTCACTCACTGACTTATTGCTCTTTTGCCCAAATAGTCTGTTCCATTTTGTCCTTACAAACTCTTACAAAAGGGTTACTTTCTGAGCTCCTCAAAAAAAGAGAAGGATGCGCCAGCAGGGCATGACAAAAATAGTCAAAAAACCAAGTGCTCAAACAAAAATCACCTGTGATTATTAGCAGAGTCCTCTTTGTTTTTTTTTTTTTTTAAGATTTTATTTATTTGAGAGAGAGAGAGAGAGGGACACAGAGAGCATGAGCAGGGGGAGGGGCAGAGGAAGAAGGACATGCAGACTCCCTGCTGAGCAAGAGAGCCTGATGTGGGGCTCAATCCCAGGACTCTGAGATCATTACCTCAGTTGAAGGCAGATGCTTAATTGACTTTAGTCACCCAGGCAGCCCCCAATTTGGGTTTAATTTTTTATTATTTTTATTATTTTTTTAAGATTTTATTTATTTGATGGAATGAATGAGACAGCAGAAGCAGGGGAGCAGCAAAAGGAGGAGAAGCAGGCTCCCCACTGAGAAGACAGCCTGATGTGGGGCTCGATCCCAGGACCCCAAGATCACGATCCAAACCAAAGACAGACATTTAACCAACTGAGCCACTCAGGCGCCCCACTCTTTGGGTTTTAAAGCTGTGAATGGCCCATCAAACTGGATGAAGTGTAGGTATAAGAACCTTAGCAACCAAACATTGACTTCAGTGTTGCCATTAAATAAAACTTAATAAAAAAAACTCATGAAATATGTTTAATGATAGCATAAGCATTTTACTGCACTGTATTTGAGCATAAATAAAAAAAAGGGGGGGTTCTACATAGGTGATGATAATTTCTGTCACTTTTGGGCATGAAGTTGAATCTCTGAAGTCAGCAATGGGAAGGATGAGCAGTGCAGAGGCAAGAAAGCTGCTCCAAAAACCTTCTGAAGTCCTGGGGTTATTAATTCATGGAATCCAGGTGACATATTTATGACATGTGGTGCCAATGAAATTAGCATTCAGAAAGCTTATGAAGAAACAAACAATCCAATCATGAAATGGGCAAAAAACATGAACAGTAATCTCACAGAGGAAGACATAGACATGGCCAACACACACATGAGAAAATGCTCTGCATCACTTGCCATCAGGGAAATACAAATCAAAACCACAATGAGATACCACCTCACACCAGTGAGAATGGGGAAAATTAACAAGGCAGGAAACCACAAATGTTGGGGAGGATGCGGAGAAAAGGGAACCCTCTTACACTGTTGGTGGGAATGTGAACTGCTGCAGCCACTCTGGAAAACTGTGTGGAGGTTCCTCAAAGAGTTAAAAATAGACCTGCCCTACAACCCAGCAATTGCACTGTTGGGGATTTACCCCAAAGGTACAGATGCAATGAAACGCCGGGACACCTGCACCCCAATGTTTATAGCAGCAATGTCCACAATAGCCAAACTGTGGAAGGAGCCTCGGTGTCCATCAAAAGATGAATGGATAAAGAAGATGTGGTTTACGTATACAATGGAATATTACTCAGCCATTAGAAATGACGAATACCCACCATTTGCTTCAATGTGGATGGAACTGGAGGGTATGATGCTGAGTGAAGTAAGTCAATCGGAGAAGGACAAACATTATATGTTCTCATTCATTTGGGGAATATAAATAATAGTGAAAGGGAATAGAAGGGAAGGGAGAAGAAATGTGTGGGAAATATCAGAAAGGGAGACAGAACATAAAGACTCCTAACTCTGGGAAACGAACTAGGGGTGGTGGAAGGGGAGGAGGGCAGGGGGTGGGGGTGAATGGGTGACGGGCACTGAGGGGGGCACTTGACGGGATGAGCACCGTTATTCTGTATGTTGGTAAATTGAACACCAATAAAAAATAAATTTATTTTAAAAAAATAAATAAAAAGAGAAAAAAAAGAAAACAGAAAAGTTAAACAATTGCAGTCTGTTCCTTTCTGTAGGAGAAGGGGTTAGAGAATAACTTGAAGAAAGAAGGACTTAAAAGGCTGGGTTTTGTGCCCCTCGCTCCTAGGGTGCCCCCTGCAAAAAGAGGTGGATAGGTTTAGGGGCCTGCATCTCCTAGGGTTACTGATTCTGGAAACTTCAGACAGACCTCTGGAAGCTTTTCTGATCTGCCAATTTCATTTACTACTTCTCCCAGCTGCAGGAGGAGCCAGAAGTCACAAAGAGCTTCTTTGCTTCTTTCTCTCCCATATCCAGGCCCATCTATATGACCAAAGGAAAGCCAGCATCTAGGAGCAGGTGAAAGACTCCCGGGCCACCCCAACCTGTACTCTCAGTGCATAAGGAAGACCCAAGAGCACCAGAGCTTCTAAAATTACTGAGCAGGCAGGGAGAAATCAACCCACATAAAGTCAAAGGTGCTCAGATTTACTGTTTACATACACAGGCAATCTTACTACCCCAGCCAACAATTGTATGGAAAAGTATTTATTAATAAATCGGTTGTGTCATTATGAGAAATAGGTAGGTCCATATAAATACCTTCAAAAAGATTTTAATAAGCTTATTAGAGATGAGTGAGACTTCTATTTTCCCTCATGTATGTGTTACTAAGCGATAAGTACCTTAAGGTGTGAATAGAAGCAACACTGTATATTTGCTATTTAATGTAACTTTGGGATACAGGGTAGTGGTAAAATGTTCTAGGTCTGAAGTAAGAGAGAGCTGGGTAGGAATTCTAGGTGTGCCACTTACTTGCTCCTTACCCAACTTCTCCAGAGCTCATTTTCAAATGGGGAAAAGGTGAATAATGATATTATCTACCTGATAGGGTTTATGTGAGGGTTAAACTATCAATGTAACAAGGACTCGGTTAATGTTGAGTGATGTTGTCCTAGCATTAGGACCCTGCAGTGATGTAACAACTCCGCTGTGTGGGGCCTTCTGTTCCCCAAGATTTTAGTCCGTATGCCACACAATTACAAGGACAGACATCCTACTTGATCATCAAGTACCCCTTCAAGATTTGCATCTTGTACCTCCTCTTTTAATCTGTTATGTCTCCAATAATTCCTTCTCTTCTTGAATCTGTTTTACTCCCTTTGTCAAGGTTAATGACCCCATTGTTGACATGCTGGACTCCCTCCTTACTTGGGGTGAATCTTCAAACATTTCACAAGTCTGCATTCCTTTGCCTCATTTATCCTTTCATGTCTGCTTGAATTTCCTTGACCCTGGATTTAGTGTTTTCTTCCTTGCCTCTACTTTACAACTGAATGTTCCTGGGGAAAAATCCTACAACACTTCTTGGTACCAGGGCCAACAAATCTAGTCCTTTGTAATCAGTGGCATTAACTTTGGCCCATGTTATCACATAGATTACCGGGAGTCCTGAGGTGGTCTATTAATTCCCCTCCTTAAAGTTTCCTAACATCCATTTGAGGAATCTATTTACCACAAAATGCTTCTAAGCATTGCCACAGTGAGTGCCATCTGCGGAAGAGTGTCAATGAAATATTAGCCAAGTACCCATCTATTAGTCTCAAAGTTTCTACCTAAACATTAATTATTTAATTAATCTTAAATTATAAAGTCCATTTTTTAAAATTCTCTGTAATTCTTGGCAAACATTTTCTACAGATTCCAGACTATGTCTGGAGCTAGGAAAGGAGACTTAATGAAGAGCTGAGTAGGAAGCAAGCAGATTCTGATCTTCCTTCCTCTGCTATTTTCCTTTTCTCTCCCTCTGACCATTTTGTTAACCAAGAGGAGTGACAATGAGTCACAGGCATATAGTGGAGAGGATTATAGGCTGAGAAATCAGAAATCAAGCAGCTGAACTGCCCCTGGAACTAGATTATGTCTTTCTCTTTCCACAGCACTGCAGGAACAGAATGGCTAGCAGGCAGAGACTTGCCAGGCAAGAAGGAATAGCCCTGCTAAAGTTGCTGGAGGATGGCCATTATTACTGGAGGGTCTTTTCTTTTTTTATAAATTTATTTTTTATTGGTGTTCAATTTGCCAACATATAGAATAACACCCAGTGCTCATCCCATCAGTGCCCGTCACTCAGTCACCCTCACCCCCCGCCCACCTCCTCCCCTTCCACCACCCCTAGTTCGTTTCCCAGAGTTAGGAGTCTTTCATGTTCTGTTGGAGGGTCTTTTCTAGACATGGTTACCTCTTTAAGGAGGAGACACATTAATCTCACGGAGATTTCTGGGCATGTTCAGAAAGTGACATATACATGACGTATTTCTCTCGTTTTATTTTCTGAGGTTCATAAGGCACGCAGTTTTGTTTTGTTTTTTACAAGGCATGCAGTATTAAAGAATCCAAGAAATCCTTTAGGGAAAAAATCTGTTTCTCTCTGTTTCAACTAGTGCTTCCCACATTTATTTGACCCTAATCATTTCTTTGCCCAATGCCACTTCTTAATGTCCTAAGTAACTCTGGAAACACCTCATGGGACATGAAGCTTAGCTCTAACCATAACCAAAGCATAGATTAACCAAAAATGTTGGCATGGTTATCTGGTAAGAAGAATACACCCAAGAATGGAACTCTGGGGAACATGATATTCAAAGACAGAGGAAAAGGACTCTAGAAAAAGCTAAGAATGGGAGAATGTGAAGGAGGAAAGATTTCAACAAGGCCAAGTGCAGCAGGGAGATCAAGGAAGACAAGACATAATGAGAGTCTTTCTGGTTTGTCAGTAAGAGTAATGGTTGACCTACTCCTACTTCTAATTTCACTTTGTCACGTATAAATTAGGATAGAGTAACAAGGTTTGAAGTAACAGTCCAACTGTGGCATTTAAATTAGCTTTTTAACTTCTTTGAGACTAGATTTCCTCTCTTCCAGATGACAAATTTATTTCATTTCTTTTGTGTTACATAATCTCCTTTATTTTGACTTTTTAAATGCCACATTTTAAAAAACTTTGTCCAAGGATCAAGATAAAAGCAAAAGTTGAAGCAAATATTCTATGCTACAGATATCAAATTATCTTGTTTTTTATAAGAGGTATTTCAGAGCATTTCTAGCCATCTGTACCATTAGGTGACCTTCAAGGCCGATACTTACAGGGAACTAGAGAGCTAGAGAACTCTTTCTTTCCTGACAGTAGGTTAAGTAGAACAGAGAGGCTATGTAGAACTATTAAAAATACAAAAGGTAGCTGGTAGATAAAGAAGAGTTCTTGAAATAGATAATTACAAATAAAAACTGAATTTTTTTTTGTAGGAATACAACTTTGAAATTATAATAAAAACTAGTAGAGGAAATAATTATATAAACATATGCTTTCTGTGTAAATTTTACATGAAGTCATTCAATACGTAAGACAAAGTCTTTAAAGTGTTTGACTTTACTAAGTATTCATGAATAAAGTCATATCATTCATGGGATTTGCTTTACAACAACTCAATCCACTGGATGAGGTAGGTAGGAGGAATAGGGTAGGAGTAGAAATGTGTTGACCATTTTAAGTGTATAGAAATGCAACTGATTTCTGTGCATTGATTTTATATCCTGGCACACTGCTGAATTCCTGTATGAATTCTAGCAATTTTGGGTGGAGTCTGTGATGTGATGAGCACTGGGTTTTATACAGAACTGATAAATTATTAAATAATACATCTGAAACCAAAAAAAAAAAAAAAAGAAAGAAAAAGAAAAGAAATGTGTTGACCATTTTAGAATTGGGTAATGAGTACATGAAATACATGGGGATTCATTCCACTATTTGCTTTTGTATGTGCTTAAATGTTTTCATTAAAAAAAAGAAAAAAAAAGCAAATGTTTGACTCACCACCATCAGAGTCATTTCTTCTTTAAGGTCATCATATCGTTCTTCTAAGCGACTAAACTCATTCAGAAGGTTCTGATACCTCAGTCTTTCATCATTAAGATCGAGTTCCAGTTGTTTTGTTTCTTCCACTAACTTCTTCTCCATAGTCTCTGAAAGAAAACAAAAGGGAAAAGCATAACAAAGATGGCTCTACAGAACTCAAGAGTACAACATGTATGCTGACTTCCAGTTTCTCTGCAAAGGGTTTTACTTTTAGCACCATGAACTACAAAGAGAATGTAGAGAAAAAATATCATGACAAGAAAATAGTTTGTTAATAACAATCATCTACTGAGGTCTTCCATGTACTATGGATTTAGTGCCATTAGCTCATTCACTGTTTACAGCACATCCTTGATAAAGCTCCACTACTCATTGTTTAGTATTTTTTATTTCACTACATTTCAGGCTCTTATAAAACTTTTGTCCAAATTAGTATACTCTGTCAAAAAGTCAGAGATACTCCTCACATCTCTGAGGGTGGCAACTTCCCAGTGAAACCAGTTGTCCTATGTTCTGTGTCTACTCTCTGCTCCGTCCCCAGGCTGAGATCTTAACAATTTTTCTACCATGTCAAATCACCCCCTCTCCAATCACTCCCCCATTTCAAACCAGATAAAGCCCCCATGCCTGGTCATTTGTGTCACTACTTCTCTTGTGTGCTGCTGGGGGCACCCATTTACCATCCCATTTTGCTGTCTCTGTTGCCAGCAGCTTGCATTTGCCTGGGATGTCATCTGGAGACGAGATGAGCCCCTGACTACAGATAAAGCAAAGCAAACAGCCTCAGATCTCAGCTGTATGTTTTACCTAAATGAGCCAATCAGTCACATTTATAAATGTTAAGCTTCCTAATATTGATAAGGCTCATTTTATTCTCATGTTTTGGAGCTAAATATTAGCTGCCCTGCCTGTTTCGCCTGCTTCACCATTTCTTTCCCTGTCCGCTCCATAAGGGTGTGGGCAGCAAGTATCCTGTCACAACTGCTTCCCTGGTGCCCACCACAGTGTTTCCCTAATGCAGGGCTTCAAAAATGTGTAAATGAATGAATGAATTTCTTCTCCTCTAACATTCTATAAATTGCCTTTTATTCTCACCAATTTGCAGAAGCTGCATAAAGCTACCAAGAAATTTTCCCTAGGCAAATCCAATGTTAGCTCTTTGTTCTTGTGATCCAATTTTAAGTATCTCCTCATTCTGGATCTTCTCATCACATTCTGCATCCTAGCAGCCTCCTTTCCATGTGTCAATGACTGTTTTTAATATCAATTTTTTTTCTAGTTTCTTTTCTCTACCTTATCCCTTACATGTGGTCATCCCATAAGGCTTAATTCCAGATTTCTTCTCTTTCCTTTACATTATTCCCTATAATTGGGAGGGAGAAGGTAGTGGGGGGCAAAAACACAGAGGGCTCTCTTATCATCATAGCTTTAATGGATACCCAAAGGCCTATTTCTTTCTGTCTCTCATCTTTAATCTCAATTTGTTTTCAGGACATCTCTACTTGGAGGCCCTACCTGACATCCAAAATTTAACTCTAGGGATCCCTGGGTGGCGCAGCAGTTTAGCGCCTGCCTTTGGCCCAGGGCACGATCCTAGAGACCCAGGATCGAATCCCATGTCGAGCTCCCTGCATGGAGCCTGCTTCTCCTTCTGCCTATGTCTCTGCCTCTCTCTCTCTCTCTGTGACTATCATGAATAAATAAATAAAATCTTAAAAAAAAAAAATCTAACACTGTAACAACTGATCTCATTAATTTTACTCATAAACAGGTACTTCCCCCCCTCAGTTTCCTCATCAGTAGTAACACACCATTATTGTTGTAATACTTCATCTCAAAACATCAGGAGATTATTATTCCTTTTCTGAATACCACATCAAAAAGGATAATATTCTGGTGATTTTTTTTCATAAAAATATATCCTCACCCCAACCCATCCCTTTCTCTCTGTCTTTACCAATTACTATAGCTTTGATCTTTCTATCATTTAGCCCACATTTATATATATGTGGACTCCTTGTTAATTATCATCATTCTTATCTATCTCACAACTAGCAAATAGAATAAATATCTACATCTAGTTAGTTCTCTATTAAAAAAATTAGAGTTGCTTTTTTGGGGGGTGGAAAAGAGTTACTGATCTTGAAAGAATAATAACCATTTTTTTAGCAAAAAATAAATACACATAGACATATACATATTAGCTCACGATTTCTTCCTAGTTCAATAGAATCCTGTAAGCTATAACTAATATATCACACATAAAGAACAAATTAATTTTTAAAAAATTACATAGGATTCTGACTACACATGAATTCACATTTGTACAAAGAAAGACCAGATGACAAGTTCACCAACTAAATCAACCAAAATATTTCCACTGCTTGCCTCTTGGAACTTCATAAATTTACTGATGACAATGTCAACTTTTTAAAATATTTCAGCTCTAAGCAAAGTTGTAACTTATAAAACCTTGGTCTGCATTTGACTGGAGTACAGTAGGTTATGCCCACCTGAGTCTTACCTGTCATCTCCTTAGCCTGCTCCACAATAAGGTGATTGAGAGCCTCTTTTTCCTGCTTCAGCAAAGTGTTTTCTTCCTTCAGATTTGACACCAGCTATCAAATAAAACAATACACTCAGATGGCTGCAGTAGACAGGGGACGCCCAGTACTGGATATAAAAAGCATACCGCAGGCCCTCCCTACCTCCATGTCTCTGTGCCTCATTTCTTTACCTCAGTCCATGTAGTCAGTTTTTGAACTTGGCTCAAAGATTGCCCCCTCCACAGGGTCTTCCTGGAAACTCTCTCCAATTAGGTGTCTCTCCTACAGGACCCTGTATGTGTCTCGTCATAACCCTTATAAATAATTTACTTTTACTTCCCTCAGAAACTAGAAATCTCTGGAAGATGGAGATAATTGCTGTTGTTTTACTTTGTACCTTGAGCATTTAGCAATTGCCTGGCACCTAGTAAGTGTTTGCTCTTGAAGGGATGAAAATGCCTTCTCACCTCAACAGCCTAACACAAAGCTTATGGGTACTCATGATTCAGGTATTAAGAGGGATTAAGGAGGTTAAGAAAGATGTGAAAGGCATTTTGGTTCTGGAATTCACCGAATTTCTTCTGAAGCTCCCTGCTACCTGTCTTGAGAAAGAAAACTGCCCTTTTATCTCCTCTTAAGAGTTTTAGAATGTTACAAACTAGTCCTTTTAGTCCATGTCTAAGCACTGGCCTTACAACAGTGTGAAAGTACTTAATGCCACAAAACTGTACACTTAAAAATGGATCAGGTAGTAAATTTTATGTTATGTATATGTGTATTTTGCCCCCCAAATCACACACATACACATGCAAACAAAACATTTTGCCCTTTCACTTTCTAGTTCCCAGTTGGATGAGGATCCCAGGAAGCAAAACTCAAAACCAAAGGTTAACTCTGCAAAGTTTATGGCTTACTCAGTTCACCTATGAAATAAATGTGTGCTTATGATGACTGAAATCTGAATTCCTTTCTCTAAGCATAAATTCAAGGAACTCTTAGAGTGATAGCTTGTTTTCCTTCCCTCCGTCCTTCCTTTTTAAGGTAAGCTCTATGCCCAACATCAGGTTCAAACTATGACCCCAAGATCAAGGGTCACATGTTAATGCAATAGCTTTAATAATAAAGAGAAGGTTATCAAGAGTTCAGAGACAGAGAAAGGGAGCTCTGTGACTAAGGACACCTAAAGACCAGGAAATTAGATGGTAACACTGTGCCACAGCAGAAGTCAGTCCATAAGGTATTCTTTCTGATGGCCCAGTCTCTTCCCTCCATACTGAAATGGCCTTAACAGCTGTTCTCACTAGAAAGGGCGGAATTCCTGACATGCTCTTGAGAGAAACTGCTCTTTGTCAGGGGTGTGCAGCCAATAAACTGTGGTGCTTTTACAAAACACACGTGCCTCCCCCATACTTCTAAAGCCTGGGCAGCTTTTTAAAAACTCTTCAGTAGATTCAGATACACACTCCTGGTTACAAAGAAGAGTTCTAGAGTATCTTCTATGCTCCTTGATCAGAATGGGAACGTAGCTTTCCTGACCATAAAGCTGGCTGTCACAGTGAAATTTTTTTCATTCTTCCCAATTACTATACTCCGCTCAAGAGAATTAATGGTGGTAGCTATAGCTGTCTCTGGGAAAAGCAGAAGATAATCAAATAAAAGAGAAAGGAAAAATCTGAATCTCTTCAAGTGTGCCATTCTTTCAGACTAGAAAGGTATCAATTTGACTTTGAATAAGAAAAGAGAATACTCCTTTTCTTCTTTTTAAAGATTTTATTTATTTGAGAGAGAGAGAGAGAGAGAGAGAGAGACAGAACACACCAGAGAGCACAAGCAGGATGAAATAGCAGAGGGAGAGGGAGAAGCAAGCTCCTCTCTGAGCAGGGAGCCTGACATGGGACTCCATCCCAAGGAGCCCCTGGGATCATAACCTGAGCCGATGGCAGACACTTAACTGATTGAGCCACCCAGGTGCCCGAGAAGAGAATACTCCTATCAAGCTTAAATACTCTTAAATACTTCATTCCTCTTCAGAAAGTCCTCTGAAGAGGAATCTGAGACTCAAGAATCTGTGAAGAGCTTCTGTAGACTCAAGAAATGAAAAAAAGAGTTCTTGAACCTCAAGACTATCCCTCTGAATGCCTATTTGAATTCTGATGAATAAGCTTACTATGTCAAAATAACATATTAATGCCATTGCTATCTCTGTATATGGAGCCCAGATCTGCTAGAGATACAGGAAGAATTATTAAGACCCTGAACACCATGGGAAAATTGCAATTTTATTATCTACCCTATCCCATCTGAATTGCACCTAAGTGTCTTCTGAGGTTCTCACTGCATATACTGTGTTAATATTCAGAAACCAGTACAGGGGAGCCTTGGTGGTACGGTTGGTTAAGAGTCCAACTCAGTTTGGGTTCAGGTCGTGATCTCAAGGTTGTGAGACTGAGCTCTGCATCAGGCTCCACACTCAGCCTTCTCCCTCTCTCTCTCTCTCTCCCTCTGCCCCTCACCCTACGCTTGCACTCTCTCAAATAAAATCTTAAAATAAATAAATAAATAAATAAATAAATAAATAAATAAATAAATAAATAAAATCTTAATATATATATTATATCTATCTATCTATCTATCTATCTATCTATATATATATATATATATATATATTTAGAAGTCAGTACAGAAGAAGTATAGGAAATTGGAAGCCTTGCCAGTAGTTACAGCCAATAGTCATCTCTATTTTCATTTGAAGGTGGTAATACTAGTAGAATTTATGAAAATCTATCACTTTTTTCAAGTAAGCTTTATGTTGAGGTACTTTTATTTTGCTTAAATAACACATTGCATTGGTGCTTAAGAACCTTAATGTTTTCTGTACTTAATAAAGTTTTGATGTAAACTTTGATATAAATTTGTAATATAAAATCACCAATCTATAAGCATTGTTGTTGTTCTATCTGAATAGCAGCTCTTGGCTACAATTAGTGTTTCAACATTTGGATTTCTCCCACTTGGACTTCTTACACAGCCTTACTGCAGATTTCCATAAAGATCTGTACTGTACTATCAGCTAGTGACATTTCATTGCTTGACTGACTTCTTACTCGTTAACTCTTTTGATGAACAAGAATTCTACTCATCCAGATCTATGTATTTAAAGGAAAAGAGGACAGAGTAGGTACTTGGCCATGAATTCTCACAATACTGCTTTGCCTCTGTTCTTACTAGAGTCAAAGGTTCTACTAAAAGACCTACAACTATTCATCCATCATGTGGGAGAAATGCTTGGAAAACACTAACAATGAACAGTAAACAAACTGACATTTGTATTTTACCTTTGATTGAAACCACCCTTGAGCCACATGGGCCAGGTCATGATGACAGCACATTTCCTCTGTGAAAGGAGTAGATGGGGTTATAAAAAAGAGCTCCTACCTGCTCAGTTTCCTGTTTGTATTTATCTGCACGTTCCTCAATAGATTTTTTCTCTGACTGAGTTTGTTCCAGGTCTTTCCGGAGTTTGGTGATTTCTTCCTGCAGACTGAGGACCCGTCCAGTAGCAACCTTAGCCTCCTCCTCACTTAGTTGAAGACGCTCTAAGTCACTTCGTAGTTTCTCAGTCTCTGAGTTATATATTCCTTCCAGAGTAGTCAGTTTCTCCATGAGGCATTTGTAGTCTTTGTTCTTTTAAACACACGCATAAGTAACAATAGGTAAATATATATATCAAATGCATTTTGAGAAAACCATATTTATTCATCATATTCATGCTATATCATCATAGCACTGCTGTAGTATCTAACCAAAATACTAACCACAACCTTTACAATCAATACCCTCATAATGATACAAAAAGGAAACAGGGAGAATTAATTCTGTTTTATATCATGAGCAACATGGATATGATTCTCTCATGGTCACAAGGTGAGTTACCACAGTAAATTCTTAATTTCCTGATTCTTAAACCAGAAATAGATCTACACTTGCTTTTGAAAATAAATCAGTGTTCTACCAAAAGCCATATGCTAGTCAGGTGATTCATAAAAATGATACAATGGCCTCAAAATCACAAGTTACTTACAAAACTCTTTATTACCTCAAAATTCCTCCCACTCCTCCCTCTTCCTGATGAATCCTGCTTTATTATGTTTTCCCCTCCTCAGTATTTATGTATCGTTAATTAGCATTATATCATTTTCATGTGCTAAAATATTACTAACTATCTCTAGGAAATAAAACTAGCCCTGCAAATAGACTATCTGCTTCTCAGAAGCATGGACATCTTCCTGCCTCTTTTACCATATCTCAATGTTAAACAACTTATATGGAAAAAAAATTATACTTTATGCAAATGAGTAATGATGATGAAAGAGATTTATAAAGTATAAAGTACAATACGACTCTTGGTCATAAATAACTTGGAGTGCTAATAAATCTGGCTGTATTCTCAGAATAATCTCCTCCCTTAGTCCTTGCAAGTATAACCTTACCTATGAGCTTGTCACTATTTCCATAATGACATTAGTGTCATTATTATTTTACTTTTTTGCTATGATTGAAAAGTAAAGCCACGGGCAAACACTGCTGAAATTAATCCCAGTGGAGTTCTTTAGGCATGCCCCACTCTCAGGGCTTTTGAATAAAACACACCTGCTCATCAACTTTGCGCTGCAGCTGCATAATCTTGTTCTCCATGCCGATATGGAGCTTCTTATAGCGCTCAACAGAGCGCGCTTCAATCTTGAGCTTCTTCAACTCGCGCTTGGCCATCATCCGCCGGAAGCAGCACTGCAGGTAGATGATGGCATGCATGCTTCTCTTGTAGCGGGTGCGAGCCAGCCAGCCCCGGACCCACTTCTGAATGATAACTGCTTTGTGCTCACGGAGCATCTGCAGAGAAGGATAAGTACAGGTAATGTCAGATCCTGGACTAGACTCAAGGTTCAACATTATCAACCCACATATGAGGAGGAGAATCCATAAACTGCCTAGGTGGAAAGATACAAAAATTGAACCAACAATACACTATATGGATTTTACATATCACAAACTTATACAGGCACAAAATTATTTTATTTTTTTTAAAGATTGATTGATTGATTTATGAGAGAGAGAGAGAGAGAGAGAGAGAAGGAGAGAGAGAAAGAGAGAGAGGCAGAGACTCAGGCAGAGGGAGAAGCAGGCTCCATGCCTGGAGCCTGATGTGGGACTTGATCCCGGGACTCCAGGATCTCGCCCTGGGCCAAAGGCAGGCGCCAAACCGCTGAGCCACCCAGGGATCCCCCACAAAATTATTTTAAAAGGCGATTTGAAAAGTAGAATTTAAAATGTGATTTGAGAACCATACAGAAAAATGTTTATTCATGTTATATGTTTACATATGATGATAAACAGAGTATATACATAGAAGCTGTCTAAATTAAAGGCACTAGAATACTAAAAGGAGAACAATTCTAAAAAGAAAGAAAAAAACACTAGGTATCTTATTGGTGTATGATTTTTGTTAGCAACAGATGATCCCCTGTAAAATGAACAGAACTGTGTGGTATTAAAATAAAAGACTGACCCACCACCCTTACTCCTGATACCATATCACTGTTCTTTGGGTGTATGCTTGAAGACATGAGGTATGAGTAGTAAGCTGACTATAGAAGCTAACACTAGGGATACTGCAATGTCTACTACTAATTTACTGACTCTTCCTCTAAGAAACAAAAAAATGACACTCTTGTTTGCCATATTTGAAGAACATTATTTTTAAGGATTTCCCATTGCTATTTCAAATGTAGCAGGAATCCACTTATGAAATCAAAGGTGGTAGGGATGGAGCTTTAAAAGAAAAATAAGGGCAGCCCCGGTGGCGCAGCGGTTTAGTGCCGCCTGCAGCCCAGGACGTGATCCTGGAGACCCTGGATCGAGTCCCACGTCAGGCTCTCTGCATGGAGCCTGCTTCTTCCTCTGCCTGTGTCTCTGCCTCTGTGTCTCTATGAATAAATAAATAAAATCTTTAAAATAAATAAATAAATAAATAAAATATTTTAAAAATAATAAAAAAATAAAAGAAAAATAAAAGATTAAGTGAACTAATCTTAATTTTCATTTTATATTGTATTTTCTAAAAAAAAGAAAAAAAGAAAAAAGGATATTCTCCTAAAATTACAAACCACTAATAGCAAAAATGTTGCTTTATGAGATGAATTTGTCAGTAATGAACATCAGGTAGGGATGGTATAAACAATTTCCAGAAATGATAAAGAAAAAATTCTCTAATTAAAAAAAAATTCTTGAACTTTAAGAAAGATTAAACTAGTAAAACCTTGAAATCCTTCTAAGTCTATGATTTTATGAAATGACTCTTGTATAACTGATATTTAAACATATGCATTTGATTAAGTATTAGCAATTATGACAAATGGACATAATGTACCTCTTATGAAACTTTTTACATGTAAAAATCTCTATTCAAATAGACAGTAGTTTAATAAGATCATTAAAAGAACAACTTTGGTTTTTAAACTATTTAACAAAGAAAAAATGTAACATTCGAGAAAATACATTTAAGAAATAAGTGGCTAAGTCTTACATACCAAAAAAAAAAAAAAAAAAAATCATAGGTGTTTAGGAGACCTTAATCATCTGTTTGGCAATTGAAGGCTGCCCTTTTCAGCTGTTCTCCTAATGCCAAAGCAGCCTTCAGCTTCCACCCAGTGCAGTCACCGTGCATCCTGCTACAGTGAGACCAGCATACTGAGCTCCCCCTGAATGTCACAGTCCTGAGGGAGCCCTTTGTCTTATCTGTGTGACTAGTGACCAAAAGGATAAGAATCCGTGATGGAAACTGAAGGCTTTCAAACTTTGAAACTCAGGACACAGTGGCAAAGCTATTAATACCAGTTTTCCTATGCCATTTCCTTCTCTCCATGTTACTTTGAGCATTGATCCATTTCTGAAATTTCAGTCAAATGGAAACAGTATATAATTAGAGCTTTCACTCCCAAACTCAAGTACATCAGTGAGTCAAAGAAGTGAATAATACCTGCTCTCCCTTTAAGAACCCCAAATCCCGTGAAGGGGAAGCTTGGACTGGACACAACTAGAAGGAGAACTGACAGGGGTGCTACTGGCCTATATGTGAGCTAGTCTCTACCTGCCAACCCCCATGTGTCCAGTCACAGTGGGGATTGAGTTGGCCAGAGTCTGTCTCTGCTAAACTGATGGCCTCCTAGCCCAGTACAAACACTCCTGAGGAAAACAAGAGGGTTTTCCAGTTTGTTGTATCTAAAAGGTCAAGTTTAATAAGACTTTTCCCCTCCCTGAAAGCTCATGCCTATACAGAAAAAGCACCAGAAGGTGTGGCAGAGAGAAAGACCCGGAGTAGCTGTCTTCAAATTTTCTTCAAAACATAGCTATAAAATATGCTCATTTAAGCATCAACTTTCCATATTTCTTTGTTGTCTAAAATTATTTCAAAATAAGAGTAAAATAAACACATAAATGAGACTTGGCCACGCCCATGCACTGCTTGTTACCAGAGATACGTCCCTCAAATCACTCTGATGCTCCTTCTAAAGGTGATGTCCACTGAGCTCTAAGATCTAGACTGTATTTCTGACTTATTGAGAATATACCCTAAAGGACAGACTCAAAACCTTGCCAAAATGAGAGATTAAAATCTTCCATCAAGGAACGCCTAGATGGCTCAGTCAGTTAAACATCTGCCTTCGGCTTAGGTCATGGTCCCAGGGTTTTAGGATTGAGCTCCATGTCAGGCTCTCTGCTCAGTGGGGAGTGAGCTTCTTTCTCCCTCTTCCTCTGCCTGCTGCTCCACCTACCCATGATCTCTCTGTGTCAAATAAATAAATAAAATCTTTTTTTTTTTTTAAAGGTTTTTTATTTATTTATTTACGATAGTCACAGAGAGAGAGAGAGAGGCAGAGACACAGGCAGAGGGAGAAGCAGGCTCCATGCACCGGGAGCCCGATGTGGGATTCGATCCCGGGTCTCCAGAATCGCGCCCTGGGCCAAAGGCAGGCGCCAAACCGCTGCGCCACCCAGGGATCCCCTAAAATCTTTATAAAAAAAATCTTCCATCAATTAGATCATATACTGTCAGAGGTGAGATCAAGATTAATCTGGTAATCTATTATCTAGTCATTTGATTATTGCTAGATATAAAGATTACTTAAAAATTTCTGGAGCATCATATTCTAGTCAATACAACTTTTAAGCACATTAATGTAATTTATTTCCTTTTCACTATGCTAAATTCTTCTAAAGTTGTTTCATTCTTGGTACAATCTTCTACCCATCTATCATATTAGTCTACCTATTCAAAACTCATCACAGTCAGCTGAATAAAGGCCCCCAAAGACATCAGATCCTCATCCTTGGAATCTGTAAAGATTATCTTATTTGGGAAAATGGTCTTTGCAGACCATTAAATTAAGGGTCTTGGGAAACCTGGGTGGCTCAGTCAGGGAGCTTCTAATTCTTGATTTCAGCTCAGGTGGTGATCTTAGGGTTGTGAGGTTGAACCTCGCTTTCTGGCTCCATGTTGACTGCAGAATCTGCTTGTCTCTCCCCCTCCCCATGCTTGTGCACGCATTCTCTCTCTTTCCCCCCCAAATAAAAAATCTTTTAAAAAAATTAAGGATCTTGAGATAGGAGGATTATCTTGGATTATCTGGGTGGGCTTCAGATCCATCACAAGCATTCTCATAAGAGATAGACAAAAGAAACAATGTTAGACACACAGAAAAGAAGGTGATATGGAGATGGAGGCAGAGGCTGGAGTGAAGTAGCCACAAACACATGGGTACTGGCAGCTGCCTGGCAAAAGTTGGAAGAGGCAAGAGACAGATTCTCTCCCGGAGCTTCTGGAGAGAGTACAGCCCTGCTGACATCTTGATTTTGGACCAGGGATCCTGATTTTAGACATCTGGCCTCAGAACTCTGAGAGCATAAATTTCTGTTGTTTTAAGCTACCAAGTTGTTGGTAATTTATTATAACAGCCACAGGAAATTAATATAGTCACTTTTTTTTTCAAATTACACAGATAAGGGGAGAAAGGTAATTTTTTCTACTATTCTGTTAATATATGCATTTAATACTTAAAAATATATTTTAGTTGTTGGTTGTCTCCATTCAGTTCTTACATCCACAGGAACTCCTGTGGTATTTTGTTCAGATGTAGAATTTGATTAATGTTAATGGAATGAATAAACAAAATTGGAAATAATGCCTCACCTTGCGATACCTATTTCTGGCTAAGTAGCCTCGCAAATAAGACTGGAGAACAATAGTGGCCGTTCGTCTGATCTTGTATTTCCTGCGGACTATATACATGCGCCAGTACTTCTGAATAATCGTTGCTGCCTTGGTTCTGCGCAGGAACTTAGCATAGCTGGCCAAAGAAAAGGGTGGTGCATTGTCAGTAATTAGAAAAACCCCAAGAATACATTTTGCAGAAACTTAAAGCACCAATATCTTCAGCATAACAAGTAGTACCTCCATTGTTATAATTCTAATATTACACATGTGAAATCACTTATATTCATATAGCAATTCATAGTCCCCCAAATATTGTTGCATTCATTATCTGATTTGAGTCTTCCCTGAATAGTAGGATGTCCCATATTACCTGATATTACAAAAAAGAAAGTGAAGCTCAGAAGAGTTCTCTCTTTCTAGGACAGTGCTTATTACCTCAGCTGTGTCTCCTTTACATCAGTGACTGGCTATCCATAGTAAGCCCATATTTACTTATCACCAGCTTTCTTACATCTAGCCATTGCTAAGGTGTGATGTTTCTCCATAATCTACCTGTTTGGGCAGAAGTTCTTCATCATTAATTCATCTCTACTGACAGTTCTAAATTAAAATCATCCTCATATGTAATCACACTAATCATTCTCCTCTAGATCTTCTCAGTTAATTGCTCCTGAAAACTCTTCAATGGAATCATTATTAACGAGCACATATTCATGACTGTAAAAGAAATTTACAGAAGATTTCTTCAAGCCCACATAAAAGTACAAAAAGTTAAAAGCACCAAGGACACAAGTAGGTAGTAGTTTGTAATTTTTTGGTAGATGAATCTAAATGATTCATAAGGGTGAGTGAAATTTCCTTCGATTTAACTGTCTTGTGAGTAAATGTTATTCTTTGAAACTAGGAAGATGCACGGTGTTGCCTTCTCAAATAGGAAGACCACTGAAAACTGTCCTCAGTTGGACAATGAACCAGATGAGCTCTTTGGGCTCCGGGGCCATGAGTCAGGCTGGCCAGGCCACCAAGAAACCTACCATCGGGCCTGGTAGCCTCGCACATATCTCTGCACAGTGATGGCCGCCTTCCGCATGCGCAGGTACTTCTTCCGCAGCAGCCACCCTCGGATGGTCTTCTGGATCCGGATGCAGGCAGCCCTCAGCTTATCTGCCCTCAGTTTTTCTAGATAGGCCACTTGACCAGCACGGAAAAAGATCTTTGTCTTACCAAACTGGTATTTGTCCTTGTCCTATGTTTTGGAAGAAATTGTATACTCAGAAGTAGAAATGATGACCATATAAATGAACTTCTAAAAGAGAAAAAAATGTCTACAAGCAGAATCAGTAAAGGGATGACTCTATTAACTAAAACTTAGACTACATCACAATTAACTAATAAAGTCAGATTGTTTAATCCTATGCAAGTTGAGCAAATAGAAGGGATTTTAAGGAAAACTGCAGTTTAATTAAGAGTTATTTTCCAGAATCATTCTACCTGAAATTATTATCTGAGGCCAAAAACTTGGTTGTGGGTTATAGGCAGTTATTGTTTACATGTTTGCATTTTAAATATCTCAAGGAAATGGAGATGCTGACACTCCCTCTGACTGACTCAGGCTGTAAGCATTACATCAGGCTGTATGTTCCATGAGAAAGCTGAAGGGACAAAAAAACACCAGCATGAAGAGTAAGGCAAGAAGCCACGCACACAAAGTAAGAATTAAACAAGAAACTTGCGTGTTCACATCAGGAGTTAAATTTGCAACAGTTATCTGTTGCTTTTATCAACAATATTTGAAAATAAACACGTCCCTATAAATGTATCTAAAATCCTTCTATAAATTTCAAAACTCCTTTTATAAGAACATAATCGCTTATCTTGCTCATTGCCTTTGGATTACAAGCAGAGTCCAACATAAACAATGCATGTTATTTTTGGTCTATCACATTCTTATGTACCTCCTCTACAAGGATGCAGGTTATTAACCACGCTCATATCAAAAGAAGAGTGGAATTTATTTATAATGATCACTACCATGATCTAAAATTCTAAGGGAAAACAAAGAAAATCACTTTTCAGTGTATACAGTCATCTCCTATCTTGTATACGAACCAGAAAAATCAGAAATCTCCATATATACATAAATCACGTAAAATTATTTTTATTTAAATCAATAAAGTTTACATAGGAAATCTAGCTGAAGACATAAGCTGAGCTAGAAGGTGGCTCCTCTCTCCCTCTCCTGCCTCAGTTTCCCCACTCCACCCCTGCTGTCCTCTACCATGCAGCCTCCTCTGTCAAACCACCCTGCACATCCCTGAACCAGGCCTGGTGTGGTCTGGGTGACAACGTGGTCTGGGTGTAGCACTGTCCAATTCTGCTTTCTGTTCCACCTGAACCTAGGTTAAAAAGGAATTGGTCCAAACCCAAAAGCAGGATTCTTTTTACACATTACTAAGAAAGTGACCTTAGCTCTTCCCAAGAAACCAAAAAATGTTATTACCGAAGAAGAGATATTACATTTAGTTAGTAGTCAGTAATTAAGACAATTACCTCAAAGTGAGGTAATCTGTTCAAATTATTGTCAAACAAGTGAAAATATTTTTTAAAAAATCTTTCATGAGGGGCAGCCCAGGTGGCTCAGCGGTTTAGTGCCACCTTCGGCCCAGGGCGTGATCCTGGAGACCCAGGATTGAGTCCCACATTGGGCTCCCTGCATGGAGCCTGTTCTCCCTCTGCTTGTGTCTCTGTCTTTGCCTCTCTCTCTCTGTGTCTCTGATGAATAAATAAAATCTTTTAAAAAAAATCTTTCATGCATCTTAAACTCTTCATAAACTATATCATTGGTTCTCAAAATGGAGTCATCAGATGAGCATCAGCATCACTTAGGAACTTGTTAGAAATCCTTATTATTGGGCCCATCCCAGAACTACAGAATTAAAAATTCTGCAGGAAGGGGGTGCCTGGGTGGCTACTGGTTGAGCATCTGCCTTTGGCTTAGGCCATGATCCTTGGGTTTTGGGATTGAGTCCCTCATCAGGATCCCCGCATGGAGCCTGCTTCTCCCTCTGTCTATGTCTCTGCCTTTCTCTATGTGTCTCCCATGAATAAATAAATTTAAAAAAAAAATTCTGCAGGATGGAAACCAGCAATCTATTTTTTTTTTCCTCCAGCAATCTATTTTAACAAGCCATCCAGGTGACTGTGATACATTCTGAAATTTTACAACTCTCTAGTTTGGTATGCATGACTTTTCAAACACCAACCTACACTTTTTAACCATATCCCTACCGTTCCATATACCAATCTTATACTGCAAACAAAACAAAACAAAACAGTTTACTGTTTTCTGAGCCAACTCTATGCTTTCCTACTTTTTCACACATCGCTCCCTATTAGAATGTCTTTCTACTTTTATACCATCTTACCAATTCTTTAAGGCCTGACTCAAAAGACACTTCTTCCCTGAAATTATTCCTCCTTCCCATAGCACACATGGCTTTGTCTTCCTCTGATTTCTTTTGTGTGTAATAGACCTTAAGGCATATTATACTTATCTCTAAAATGCATGAATTTCCAAGACAGACTATGTTACCTTGGGGCAAGGCTTATTTTTTCATAATCACACAGTATATCTGGCCTGATACTTCTGTAAGTACGATGACCTCTAATTGATAATGATCAAACTCTAAGCAAGTGTATCTGAAGTCTGGGTCCAGGCCTCACCCTCCTGTTTCCTAACAGTAGACCACCCTCCTCACAAGGGGGCCTAGCATCCTAAGCACAGTATGCCTTTACCTCTAACATAGTATGCAAAATAATCTGCATTAGTAGTATATGAATTTCCCAGGGGTTTCAAATATTACAATCACAAGGCCTTTGGCCAATACCTGTTCAGGTAAAGGTAAATAGGACTCTTTCTTACCAGTATCAGTTTTTCTAACACATTCTTGCATGTTTGCTTTCTGTCACTCAGGACATCCTTTTGCTTCATTAGGACACGGTAACGGCTGAAAAACTCTTGGTAAGTCCACCTGTATAAAGAAACTCACATCAGCTTACTTGAAGGGGCAAAAATCTCTCCCAGAAGATCCCTCATATTTGAAACCCGCCCAGCTGACCGTGAGGGGAAGCCCGCAGCACTGATGCGGATGGTCTCCAGGACACCGCAGGCTCTCAGCTGCTGTACTGCCCTCTTCTCGTCAAACCTACATGTCAAAGAAAATGGACATCAGTGATATATAAAGAAGCCTGGCTAGAGCCACAAATTACTCTCCTTGGTCCAGAGAGAAAATTCTTTTGTAAGGAACCAAATGGATAAAATAGAAAACATTCCAAAGTTGGAGCGGAGATCAAAATGGAAAACTCTGTGTGACAGTGGGGAAGAGATAATTAGCAGTAAAAATAAAGAGTGGAGCCATAAACATTATTTGTAGTTCATGCCACAAACCTATAAGAAATACCACTGGGCATATTTTTAAAAAAACAAAATTCTTCACTACTTTGCCCATATTCATTAAATGGCTTGGTCTGATAAGTTCTTCTCTTAATCTTTACCTCACCATATTCCCTGGAATAAAGACTAGCCAGCACTGCAGATTGCTCTAAATTAAATATTCAATTATTTGAACTGAATTCAATTATTTGAATTCAATTATTTTTTAATAATTCAATTATTCAATTGAATTTCTTTAAATTCATTCAAATTATTCAATTGAATTCAATTATCTTTCTTTAAATACTGGTTTTCTAAAAGTTCTATTCAACTTCATGTGTACATACAAAGCATTTAGTGTCCACACCAATACAAATTATTTTTATTTTGTACTATATCTTTTATACTTTGTCTATTTAATGCTAGACAAATAGCATCTTCACATTATACTGACACTAAGAAAAGAAATAGCGAGGCCTGCCCCTTGCTGAATGATCACTCTTGGTACTCTCCCAGTTAAGCCCTGAGCACCCTCTCTGAGCCTTGTGCTGTGCTGTCTTCTCAAGTGTTCTGTTGGCCATAGGTGATGGGGTTGGCTGATGGAAGGTAATAGCCCCTAGGGTTATCCAGGAGAATGGCCCAGGCTGTGGCAGCTCTTTGTCTCCCATTTCCTCCAGAAAGAGCTTCTTGGCAATCAGGAGGCTGTACGTCTTTCAGAACTGCCCTGCACCTAAGGCAGAATCTCAGAGGGCGGGATTGGCAGAGCGTAGGAAAATGAACGCTCATATCTTACTGGGTGGGAGTGGGAGCTACAACCTTTGGTAAATGTGCCTCATCTGACCCACAAATTCCCCTTCTAGAAATATATTATCCTAAGAAGATAATCAGGCAAATATATAAGAATGTTTGGAAAAATATATTTATCATAGCATAGTTGGGATAACCTAAATGGTCATCATTTGAATAAATGATGTATATCTATACAGTGAGATACTATATAGTCATTAAAATGATGATGTGGATTTTTATTTACTCACATGTAAAGCGTCCAAGTTTATTAAGTTAAAACCAGATACAAAACAGCAATTACAGCATAAGCCCCTCCTTTTAATAGTGTCTCTCTTTCTTTCTCTTTCTCTCTCTCTCTCTCTCTCACACACACACACACACACACACACACACAGAAACACAGCAGGGAAGGAAGAGATGTTGGTTGGTTAAGAAGGATTTATGTGAGTGAATACCAGTTATGATGAATTTTTTTAAATTATTTTTATGATATTTTATATTTTTCAAAAGCTGTCTTTACAATGCACATGCATTACTTTTAAATTTTGAGAAAAATTTCCATTTTGAATAAAAAAAACTTCCCCCTCACACATGGTGTTCAATTTAGGACAAGACATTTGGTAATAGTAGACAGGCTCTGATGGTTTCAACAGTTGGAAAGTAGCAGAGAGAACACTGAGCCTCCACCAAAGCAGCCTTACCCGACCTGATTCTGGTTTTAACTAATGGCCAAATTAACAAAAGCCCAGAGACCTTGAATTAAAGTAAATTCAAAATAGAAAGCAGAACTAGGAATGCTTGGTTGACCTCCACTTTTAAAATCTTCAAAAGGTCAGCTACTAATTTGTTACATATTCTCCAAAGAAAACGAAAAAAGAAAAAAAAATCTATTAACTAGTGATTTCCCTCTACAAGACATGAAGATTTATCCAAATATTTTTTCCTTCTGTTGGTATGGGAATCCCTATGAAACTTGGACATTTTTTAATTCAGTAGTTGAGAAATGCTTACGTGAAAGGGAACTTGAAGTCATTAGGCTTAATGCAGCGCACGTAGTGAGGGGTAGTGGCATTGAGGGTCTCCATAAGCAGATGAAGGGAGTTTCGGAACTTCATGAAAAACAAAACAAAAGGAGCCATCAAGGTTTTGTCAAAGTTGACGTATAACAACTTAAAGTTTTCCAATGACACTACTGGAGATGATTTTGCCCCCTATGACCTGACACAACCTCAGAAGCAGGGGTGTTCTAAATAAGAATGTAGGGCTTTAGGTTAAAATTTGCTTAAACTCAGCCATTTATATGCTTATTCTACTAAATATACATTTGTTCTCCTCCCACCACATTTCCCTCATTCCGTTTTTATAAACTTGTTTTCTTAGAGACATTTTAGGTTCACAGAAAAATTAACTGAAGAGGGATTTTCCATCTGCCCCCTGCCCCCACACAGGCAGCACCTCCCCCATTATCAGTACCCCCAACAGAGTGGCACATTCATCAGGATGGTCTGACAAATCAGTTACCTGAAGTCCATCATTTACATCAAAGTTCACTCCCCCCCTTTATTTAACACAGGCTCCCACAGCTTTCTATCCTGAATGCACAATTCTGACTAAAAATATCACCTTACTTGAAGAATGTTAAGTCCATTTATCGTGTACAGTAGGAATTCTGCTACAAAATACTAAAAACATAGCAGGTGACTTACAAGACCACAGGAAATGAGCAGGAGGGTGGGAGAGTGCAGCCAGAGTGGGGCTACCATCAGGGACACAGGTTCCAGCCTGGAGGCTGTGCATCTCTATAAGGCCCTGCGCTTCCTATTTCACCTAGACACACAGTCCCCCACACAGGAAAGCAAGCTGACTGGCTTCCTGTCCAGAGCCCCCAGCCTTGTTCAGGTACTATGCCTGTATGTAGGATTTCCTACTCCCCACAGAGGGAACAACCAGAGGACAAACTGAAAGCAGCAGTGGTCTGTGAAGGATATACACTACAAGAAGTAAGAGCCAAAGAAAATAATTTGGGGAAAGGCTTTCACAGAGTCATGGGTCTAAAGCTGGGTGGAGAGGAGTAGGAGGGGATGGTGTGACATGTCCTCACAGTAAAAGCTCTATCTAGCCTTTCCCCACCTGAGGACCCCATGTGGGGCTTCAGCTGAGCCTGAAGGGAAGACCTGGGGCTTCCCTGAGGAGAAGGAGCCCTGCCATGGTAGCTTCTTCAACTCACCTGGTGCCCCACAGTTTTCTTGTGTTCTTTGGCTGTCTGGCCTGGTCTGCCTTTGGTGGGCTTTGCAGGAGTGCGGCTAAGGGGCATGCGCCCTGATGAGGTGGCTGATGTTGGACTGATGGCCTTCTCATCATCTTGAAATAATTCTGGTAGCATCTTAAACTGAGTCAGAAACAATAGAAGATAATTACACTCTAAATTAACTCAAATGTAAACCTTCACAGAAGACCTGGAGTCCATACTACTTCCCTTCCTTAAGTAATCCCTTTCAGAGTCTCATTCCAGAAGTAATCAATATCTATCTGTGTTAGGAAACAAAGATATGAGAGGAAGGTGACACAAATGCTACAAAAACATAGGAGGAAAATTTGGTGATTCTACAGCCATGTTTGGGGAAAACAAAATCAAAACTACTTCACTCAAGCAGCCCCTGTGGCACAGCGGTTTAGCACCGCCTGCAGCCCAGAGTGTGATCCTGAGACCTGGGATCGAGTCCCACATTGGGCTCCCTGCATGGAGCCTACTTCTTTCTCTGCCTGTGTCTCTGCCTCTCTCTCTCTGTGTGTGTGTCTCTCATGAATAAATGAATAAATAAATCTTAAAAAAAAAACAACTACTCCACTCACACTGGCAATCCTAATCTACAGAAATGTCCACTACAAACATATTACTGGTCTTGAACTACAATTATTTTATGAGCAAAATACTAATTGAAAGTCTTATCTTATTACCTTACCTCAGGTAAGGTAAAATGCTTTATCATCATGCTTCATTCATCTACCTACTAACACAAATGGTGAGCACCAACTAAAAAAACTCACTGAAAAATCTCAGCAAGAAGGGTGTCATGAACTAGTTCTCCAATATTGTAAGATTGAAAAATAATCACGAATTAATTTTTGAAAAAATAACATAGATTTATAAGGAAAACAATTAAAAGCCCTATTCTTGTCCTGGATGTAACCTTTTATATTTGTTTTCAAGGGATTGATAACTTGATTGTATAATTTCTGCAATCAATTTTGTGTTATACCAGGTTAGCACTATGAGAGACTATTAAAAGATCTGGCATTTAACAAGTAGATGGATGGTATTAGTCAATATGGTTAGGAGAAATTTTATGGAATGAAAGAGACTTCAAACTAACTGACAGGAATATCTTGAAACATATGTATCTTCAACAGTGACACATTCTGCATAAAATTCTTCAAATTATAATTTCAACTACTAATTATTTGTCTAATAATTTCAGAAATAATTTTCCTAGGAGAGTTCTTTCATTAAAAAACAAAATCAGAGAACTCCATTTGCTCATAATGTGTATATTTAATCATAAGGGTAATTTAAGAAATAACTCATGCTGTATAAAACAAATTGTTATACAAACATACCAATAATGGTTGCTTCTACACAAATGAATATATCCCTTTTACAGAAAAAAAATATACATATATCCTAGTTTATTTAGCTGCAAAGAGGAAAACATGTAGTACCACTATCTTGTATTACAAGCTGTGTTCCAAGAGAAAAAATAAGAGTCCCCCTAATAGATTTGAACCCCAAACCCAAGTTATGTGTATCATGATGCACCATCTCCCAGCTTTAGCTATAACAATGCTGCATAGACTGCAATCACTCCAAATGATTCCCCAGAACACATAATTATCCTTCTGATAATTAAGGATCTACTAGCCATCAGAAAAGTTAGTCAGAAGAAAGGACTGATTACAAAGTGTCTGGGGAATGAGAACCTGAGAATGTTCCATTTAAGCTAAATTGCCTAGGCAGAGTATTAGAATTTTATGGTTTCCATCACTATTCGTAAATAGAAACGATTTATACTCTAACTGAATACAGCACGCTGAGGGACTGGCACTATGAGAGATTTTTCTTTTATACATCATTCCTCCTATAAGCTATAAAGCATTAATGCCCAGTGCTTATGAGTGTAAGTAAGAAACTGACTTAGATACCGAAAGGACTTTCAGCTCAAGTCATGATCTCAGGGCCTGGGATCAAGCTTCATGTCATGCTCCGCACTCATCAAGGAGTCTTTGTCTCCTGCTCCCTCTGCTTCTACCCTACTATCTGTCTCATGCTCTCTCTTTCCCTCTAAAATAAATAAATCTTAGGGCAGCCCGGGTGGCTCAGCGGTTTAGCGCCGCCTTCAGCCCAGGGTGTGATCCTGGGGACCCAGGATGGAGTCCCACATCAGGCTTTCTGCATGGAGCCTGCTTCTCCCTCTGCCTGTGTCTCTGCCTCTCTCTCTCTGTCTTTCATGAATAGAAAAATAAAATCTTTTTAAAAAAAATAAATCTTAATTAAATGATTAAATGATGCAGCAAAAAACCTGTTTTCTCTCATCATTTTTCACAAAGGCACAAGAAAGTCTACAACCACCGTGGAGATAACAATTTCACATAAAACTCAAAATATTGCACAGTGGTTAAGAGCAGACTCTGAGCAAGTCAGCCTATGTTTTGTCTTGAAAACTTATTAGCTATGAAATCTCTGTCCTTCAGTTCCCTCTTGTGTAAAATGTAATGATAATATCACCTCATTATAAAAATTACATGAGTGGGATCCCTGGGTGGCACAGCAGTTTAGCGCCTGCCTTTGGCCCAGGGCGCGATCCTGGAGACCCAGGATCAAATCCCACGTCAGGCTCCCGGTGCATGGAGCCTGCTTCTCCCTCTGCCTATGTCTCTGCCTCTCTCTCTCTGTGTGTGACTATCATAAATAAATAAAAGAAAAGAAAAAAAAATGTTTAAAAAAATTACATGAGTAACATTCGTAAGGCATTTAAAACAAGACCTGACACACACTGTTATGTATCTGATAAATTAAAAACTAACAGTAAAGCTAATTTTGTTAGAAAAATCATTATTGTTAAAAAGCTAATGTTTAAGTAATTAACACTTTATTGAATATATCCTGATTGGAGAAAGCCTATACACTGTTACCTTGCTTGATTTCAGAACTTTAATTTGTTCTTCAAAAACAGTGTCTTTATTCTTTTCCAGAAAGCCTTCACACTGGTATTCCACCTGAAAACGCATGCAAAAATGTTCTTAACTAACAGACTTTTTGAACAGATATTATTATCATCAACAACAAAAATACATATTAGGCTCAGGATCCAACTGGCTCTCAGCAAATTGGTATCAGTTTTATTCTATGAAACCAGTACCATTCTTGGGAAGAAATACATGAACTCTAGAGTAAAACTCCTCAAATACTGTTTTTCCCTAGGGAAGAGTGGTAGTGCTAATTAGTTATGGTCTGAAAGATCCTCCCAATTCATACGGAAGCAGACTCATAAGAAGTTGACTCTCTTCTCCCATGCTGGCAGAAGAGAGCTCCTCTCTCTTGGCCAACCCAATGTATCTTCTTGTGACTCACATCACTATCCAGGAAGGGTAGTTCTCTTGGGAGAGAAGACACTAAAGCTAGAGAGAGATCAGAAGGAACAAAGAGCTGTCTGACAGAGGGTTGAGGTGGTGCCTGGGAAAATACTGTATGATCTGGTAAGTGGAACTACCTGAGAGTGCACTTCTTGCTTCCAAAACTCCAGTGACTTAGGGCATCTACCACTCAAGTTGCTCCCCAGCCTATAACACAAAGCCCTTAGGTGACCTAATGTCATTCCCAGGTTTCCAGGTAGGATTAAGGAGACTCAGAAGGTCCTCAATTCCTGAAGGAAACTCCAGGAAGTTTACCCCCAAAAGCCTACCCACGTTTCCTTTAAATATAAAAAAATATAAATCTCATAGCTCCTGATTTTCTGAGTACACCACTGAATTCACGAAGTAGCAAGTCTGCATACCCTGTTAGGAGGGACCCAATAACTCAGCCACAGAGGCTGACACAAGCCCACAGTCTCTATTCTAACCCCTCAAAGACATCAGCAGTCTGAGGCAGTGACCTGTAATTAAACACATTAACATTTCTACATTGAAATATGTAAATATCCAGCATAACTGAGATAAATAAAGACTATACACAACCTTGTGTTAGTTTAAGTCAGAGATTAGGTTTAGCCATAACATGAATTATGAAAAGGCTTCTTAGTTTTCACAGTTTCTTGGATTTCAGAATTACAGACGATTGTAGACTCATATTTATTTCATAATATAATTCTATTTAGGCTAAAGGAAGAGAAAACCAACAAAGCACACTGAAAAATACTTTTCCTATAAGACCATAAAGAATGCAAGTTTCAGCAAAGATAAAAATATCTCTTGACTATCACTTTTTTCCTTCTTTGAACTTAAATATTCAAAAAGAAAAAAGGTAATAAAGCTTTCTTACTTTGTCAGCAAAATGTTGGATGATGAAAGCTTTGTTTGATAGACGGGGCTTTTCAAAGAGTGCACATTTGTTCAAATGTGTGTTGTACAGTTTTTGGGCCCAAGTGTCATCTGTACCTTTAGGCATCTACATTCAGGGGAGAAAGGAAAAAAAACAAACAAACAATGGAAACAAGGTGATGAATCTTCTGATGTATCAACCAAGGGCCATTTTTTGGCTTTTCTAACAATTTTTTATTCAATTAGGGACTCATTCCTTCCACATTTCTGCTAGATGCCAAAAATTAATTGCTAATGAAAAGCAATGATTGAGACCTTCTCATGGGTGACTCAACCCAATCTTTGGGCAACTCAATCTGCCTATACCAGGAATCATCAAATAAATATTCTGTTTTTAAAACAAGAGCCTCGCAAACAAAAAATGAACTATCATGATGTCATGTATTTTTTTTCTAGGTAAGCTATGTGCCCAATATGGGGCTTGAACTCATGACTCCCGAGATCAAGAATCACATGCTCTACCGACCTTGTCAGGTGCTACATATCACATATTTTTAAAAATTTGTTAAATAAAGGTAACATCTGCAGAGAATGAAATATTTATATAATTCAGAAAGTTTTAAAATGAAGAGTAGGGGCACCTGGGTGGCTCAGTTGTTTAAGCATCTGCCTTTGGCTCAGGTCATGATCATGGGGTTATGGGGTCAAGCCCCACATTGGGTTCCCTGCTCAGCAGAGTCTGCTTCTCCCTCTCTCTCTGCCTCTGCCTCTGACTTGTACTCACTCACTCTGTCACTCAAATAAAATCTTTTTTTTAAATAAATAAAGAGTAATCTCCTTTCACCATTTCCACCAACTTTTTTATCTTTCTGTCTAGAGGTATGAACATAAGTAGAATCATTCTGTAAGCTCCCTGCATTTTTTTAAATAGTAGCAGTCTTGTATTTATGGCCATTAAGCTGTTACTCATTTTTCGTTCTTATAAAAATGGTCACAAAGACTTCTTTTACATATATACCTTGGATACTTTTGTAAGTATATTCATAGGGTGAACTCCAGCAGTTCACCATTGTTAGGTCCAAAGGTACCTGTGGTTACAAATTTGATAAGTATTGTCAAATCTCCTCAAAATACGTTGTATTAACTCACACCCTACTATCAATGAGTGGTATTATCAAATTTAACCTTACCTATCTGTGGTGTGTGGTGGCACAGTCAGTTAAATGCCAACTCTTGATTTTTGGCTTAGGTCATGATGTCATGATCCCAGGGTCCTGGAATTGACCCACTTGTGCTCCACATTCAGCGTGGAGTCTCTTGAGATTCTCTTCCTCTCCCTCTGCTTGTCCTCCCATTCACAGGGGCACCTCTCTCTCTCTCTCTCAAAATAAGTAAAATCTTAAAAACAAAAACCAAAAAAAAAAAAAACCTTGCCTATCTGATAGGTAAAAAACAGTATCCCATTTTTTATTTGAATTGCATTTTTATATAATTTCAAGTGAAACTGAACATTACACTCATTCTTAATGTTGTAGGAAATCTGGATGCTTAGGAGGATCAGTCTATGGTAAGTTGTAATTTATGGCATATAAACTAAAGAGGAGTTAAGAAAAAAGATAGGTTATTTGTCTAAGATCACTCAGCAGTAAAGCTGGATATCCATTATTTTCTCAACATGCTGTGTCTTCAAATATTAAAGCTAAAATTCCCTTTCTACCAGATATATTAGTAATAAAGAATGAGCAGTCAATTTAAAAATATTTATAACTATTATTCAAAATATATTTTGTATGATTTCTTGCATATCTTTAAATATGTCATACCACTGAACAAAAAAAAAAAGTACCAAATACAAGCATATTGATAACAAAAGTAGCTAACACTGGTGGTAGTTGTGTCTAATGTCAATTTTTCACATAACTTAGAAGCAGGTGAAAAAAGAAAGGAAATTCTCCAAGTTTCTTTTTAATTTTTTTTAAAAAAGATATATTTATTTACTTATTTTAGAGAGAGAAGGAGAGTACGAGTAGGGAGAGGGGCAGAGAGAGGGAGAGAATCCTCAAGTAGACTCCCTGCTGAGTGTCAAGCCTGACTTGAGACTCAATCCCAGGACCCTGAGATTATGACCTGAGCCAAAATCAAGAGTCAGCCACTCAACTAACTGAGCAGCACAGGTGCCTCAAAATTCTCCAGCTTTCAATTGTATTTGGAAACCTTTGGGTCTAGTGACCCTTTGGAATGCAAGTGGGGTGACCTCTCACTTATTGCCACAATGGCACTTCATGGTATACTAATGAATCTCTACTTGAATCCACTAACCTTCTGACCTTGACATAGCTCTTTTGATAGACTAGGTACATCTGAAAATCATATTTACCTTGCATTCTTCATCCAGCAAATCTAAAACGCCCAGTTTAGATTCTATAAGATTAATGCAAGGCTGATTATCATAAAAATCTATGAGTGTCCATGGAATTTGTTCTTTCATATATTCTTCTTGTTCTAATTTGAAGACATGCTGAAATGAAAGACAAAAAAGAGCTGGCATTATTGAACAGTACAAGTAATGTTAGTCAAGAAACATTTATAGAAAACAACTTAGATTTTCTAAGAGGATATGAACATAATTTGAGATAGTCCATGGCATTCAGCAACCATAATCTTGCGGGAGAAACATGATTTACACATGGAAAATAATATAAGAAGCAAATAAAAACCACAGATGGTAAAACCTCAGCTATACAGGATTGTTGGTAAACAAGTAAATCTAAGTACGTAGATGCATGTGTTAGACAACTGACAAATGTAGCAGTATTTTATATTTTTTTATGTATACATCTAACACTGCACTATATACTTTTTGGCCTCAGATTATTGCACAGTGCTGCTAACGATGCCTTAGCTGGCCTTGAACAACTATGCAGAGCAGATGCACCCTGGACCACTGAACCAAACTGGGTGATGCTTACAGCATAGCAAAAATAATTCTCTTAAGGGACAGTGATGTTGGAAGTTCACGTGCCTCAGAATTAGATAACAGTGTTTTATGTCTGCTTCCATTATCTTCCATAGTCAGGGAATCTTTGGTTCAATTTTCTGGATTCTTCATCCAATGCTACAAGTAGCTGCAAGAAATACCAATTCACTGCTCTTTCTGCTAAATGCTTCTACCACCATCCTCACCATTGCTTCTAATCTCCATTCACTCATTTATGCAAAAATACGTATCACCTATGTGCCAGTCACTGCATACCATTAACAAACTAGACATGGGTTCTGCCCGCATGCAGTTTGGAGACTAATGGGAAAAACAGACAGAAATAAAATAATCACAAACTGTAGTAATGTTACAGAGGAAAATAATGCAAGCTATGAGAGCAAGAGTCCTCATGAAGTTTAGATATATGGTGGTGAGGGAAAGCTTCCTAGAGGAAAGACTGTATGATATCAGCTCTGCAGATGAATGGATTTCAAGTTATTCTAGGCAGAAGGGCAATCCAACCACTGATACAGTTCTTGCTTCAGGCTGCCCAGCCAATGCAGCAACCCACAACTTCTTGTCTCCACAAGATGTTAATGACCTCTACTCATTGTTTTTGGGGATTTCTGCTTTCCTTTGTCTCTTGTGTGTCCTTGTTCTCTCAACATTTTGATGCTTTTTCTGGAAAGAACAGCTCTATGACCAGACAATTCATATTTTCTAGGACCCCAAGCCCCATGAAACTTAGGTATCACCAAGATTTCTGATACATATTCTCCTTGTGCACCTGGAACTTTCTCACTTTATTCTGTACTTATTATAATGCCCCTCTTGGCTCATTTGCAGCATTTACCAGCTGCAATAAGCTTTAATAATTAAAAACAAACAAACAAAAGGGTCACCCACATGAATATTTATATCATGCTAACCAGAAAGCAAATTTATTCTGCTCTCTTGATGAATGAGAACGTAAATAGGGCACCATGTGTCAGCAGGATGCTTTGCCTGATGGCACCAATATTTTACAAAACAATGAGCCTTGTCTTTTTTTAATTCAATAATTTATATGCAGTCACTGACAACAGAAACACTGTCCAGATTTTACATGGGCTTGATTCTTACACACATTTCTATGCCTAGGTGGGAAAGTCCACGAGGCCTCAAAAATTCTGGATACTTAATTGTCAAAAAGACAATGTGGGCACAAGGTTCAACATGGCTAGAGATCCTTGGTCAATCTATAATGCCTCCAAGCACTAAACATGCCAATAACCATTTTGATCATGCCCACTGCCCCACCCATAATCCCTGCCAAGGGACTGGCCCAGAGCAGCCAAGCTCTTTACTATAAGACCTCATGTTCCTAGTCACAGCTGGTCAACTGCTAGAGATCTCTGAAAGAAAAGTGAACAAAGTTATGATTCTCTTTCTCAGGTGGAAGAATTTGGAAATGGGCAATTAATAGTGCAAGCTGAAGCCAAAGGAAGTCAAGATGAATGGGGATTTCAAAGCAAATTAAGGGGATGAGAGGAGCAAGCTAACCACTGCTGGGTTCATAGGAAGCTTGAAGTGAGTGAGAAAGTTGAAACCTTGAGAAAATATATACAGAATAGAAGGGAAGAATAAGCCATATGACAGTAAGAGGGAACAAACACTGTGCAGAGAGAAGATAAGATGCAGTATAGTGTGTGTGTATGTGTGTGTGTGTGTGTGTGTGTGTAGAGAGAGAGACAGAGACAGAGGAGAAACAGATGGAAAGAGACAGAGGGAAAGAGAAACAAGAGAATCAGAAACACACATGCAGAAACATGGCGTTCTTATAAAATAGACAAATTAGCAAGTCCCTAATGAGGCCAGTGTTGGTTCCTTATATTGATAATCATGTTGTGCCAAAATGTACTCGGAAAGAGCTCAGGTTGTGGCTCTGATTAAAGTATTAAGAAACTCAGTAAAACCTTGAGAAAAGATAATGCTTAATCTCTGATAGGTTTTTATTTATGTTTCTTTTTTAATTTTTTAAATTTATTTTTTCATTATAAATTTATTTTTTATTGGTGTTCAATTTGCCAACATATGGAATAACACCCAGGGCTCATCCCATCAAGTGCCCCCCTCAGTGCCCGTCACCCAGTCACCCCCACCCCCGCCCACCTCCCCTTCCACCACCCCTAGTTCGTTTCCCAGAGTTAGGAGTCTCTCATGTTCTGTCTCCCTCCCTGATATTTCCCACTTATTCTTTCTCCATTCCCCTTTATTCCCTTTCACTATTTTTTATATTCCCCAAATGAATGAGACCATATAATGTTTGTCCTTCTTCGATTGACTTATTTCACTCAGCATAATACCCTCCAGTTCCATCCACGTCGAAGCAAATGGTGGGTATTTGTCATTTCTAATGGCTGAGTAATATTCCATTGTATACATAAACCACATCTTCTTTATCCATTCATCTTTCGATGGACACCGAGGCTCCTTCCACCCAGGGCAATTTACACGTTTAATGCAATCTCTATCAAAATATCATGGACTTTCTTCAGAGAGTTGGAACAAATTATTTTAAGATTAGTGTGGAATCAGAAAAGACCCTGAATAGCCAGGGGAATTTTACTTCATTTTTTTAAAGATAGATTTATTTATTATTTATTTATTTATTTATTATTTATTTATTTATTTATTTATTTATTTATTTATTTATTTATGAGACAGAGAGAGAGAGAGAGAGAGACAGACAGAGAGGCAGAGACACAGGCAGAGGGAAAAGCAGGCTCCATGCCGGGAGCCCGATGCAGGACTCGATCCCGGGACTCCAGGATCGCGCCCTGCGCCAAAGGTAGGTGCCAAACCGTTGAGCCACCCAGGGATCCCCAGCCAGGGGAATTTTAAAAAAGAAAACCATAGCTGGGGGCATCACAATGCCAGATTTCAGGTTGTACTACAAAGCTGTGGTCATCAAGACAGTGTGGTACTGGCACAAAAACAGACACATAGATCAATTGAACAGAATAGAGAATCCAGAAGTGGATCCTCAACTTTATGGTCAACTAATATTCGACAAAGCAGGAAAGACTATCCACTGGAAAAAAGACAGTCTCTTCAATAAATGGTGCTGGGAAAATTGGACATCCACATGCAGAAGCATGAAACTACACCATTCTTACACCCTACACAAAGATAAACTCAAAATGGATGAAAGATCTAAATGTGAGACAAGATTCTATTTATGTTTCTTATGCAAAGATGAAAAATAGAACAATCACATTTTTATGGAAATAGTCATAAGGCTAAGGTTTGAAGATCACCTCTGCATTATTTCACTGTGTTAAGTAACTTAACTTGCTAAATACAGATAGTTCAAATTTTCATCAGAGTATATGCAGTATTTTTTTTTTAAATCAATCAGTCAAATGTTTGATAATGACAAGCAACAATCCCTTGTCCCATCCCTCAATCCAGTCTCACTCTCTGGAGGAAACCATTTTTAACTTCCTTAATTATTTCTTACTGATACTTACCTCTAAAGAATATGTGTACTTCCTGTTTTTTAAATTTGTCCGTTGGAAACATCATCTATTGATTTCTTGATGAGACAGATGAGGCTAAATTCATATATACCACCCTCTCCACTGCCCTTCTGCTTTCCTCCCAATATTATTACTTTTGGTTCTTCTTTTGATTTTTACTAATTTTGTAACTTAAAACTATACCTTTAAACTTCTATTTCTTTATCATTAGCCATGCCACCTGACCTCTCTCTTATTAAGATGAGGATACTAAGGGCTCTTTTCCTATCCTTCAGCTAGCTCTCTTCTCTTCCATCTTCAATTCCTATGGGTGACTTTTTTGTTTTGTTTTTTGGGTGACTTATTTTTAATATCCTCTTCCATCAGTACTAACAACTATCCCAAATCTTGCACTTAGAACTGTGCCTGGCACTTTACATACTCTAACTCATTTACTGTATACAACCATATGCAGAAGGTACAATCATTACCCCCATTATACAGATGAAGAGACTAAAGCCCAGGAAAGCCAATTAACCTGTCCAAGGTCCCCTGAATATTCAATGCAGAATGGGATTCCAATCTAAGTGTACTTTTGAAGGTCTGTGTTCCTCACTATTGTAATCTACTGCCTCTCGTTTTTAAATATCTTGAAAACCCCCAATACCACGATAACATTTGAAGATATATTATTACTTCACAAGAGCCATTCTCAAAATATGCCCATTGCCATTGTCATGGTGAATGTCTCAGTCTATTGAAAAGAGAATCTGTAAAAGAATATGTAAATAAAATATGCAGAAAAGAGTGTGTGTTCTGATTTTTCATGCTGGCATCTTGCTAATACAGCAAGTGAGTTAAGACAGTCTTAACTCCACAGGGACAATACACTGAAGGATATCCTAAGCTCAAAACTTCATACTGCCTATGTTACTACCCATCACACTTCCTGCTTCCATCACTCAACTTACTTCGACTGAGTTTTTACTATTTTCAGACTGTAATCTGAAGATCATCTTGAATCTTTTCTGGGTCATAATCATTTCTTTAATATTGCATTAATATATTAATTGTAAGTTCCTCAACAGCTCAGTTGTTCTAAAGCCTAGACAATTATTGCAATTTACAACCTCATTTCAGAAACCAGACTTTAAACACTGTGTTGGAATTCAAAAGAATAATTTACAGTAGAATATTAGTTAAGAAAGAAAAGCCTTACCATATTGAATTGTTGCTGTAGTTTTTCATTTGCATAATTTATGCAAAACTGTTCAAAACTATTTATCTCAAATGTTTCAAATCTGTAAAACCAAAAACAGTATGTGAAGAGGAGAAAAAGTAACAAATAGCTTTTTTAAATATTCAAAATGTGCCTATTAGAAAAAGAGAAAGAAAGAAAGAAAGAGAGAGAGAGAGAGAGAGAGAGAAGAAATTTCCCAACATTGTGAAACTCTCCACATCAGTGAAGGTAAAGGTTTATAAGTCAGTTACATGGAATCTGTATCCAGCAGATAGGCATCAACCACATAGCAGAAAGGTTTTTTTTAAAGCTCTTTAAAGATGTGTTCAACAGTATGAGTTTTTGAGAGCCAATTCATCTCCAAGTGGGGAACAATCGAATTATGATAAAGCTATTGATCTTGTCAATTTACAGATTCACAGTGTCTACATTCACATAACAGGGAACAGAGAACAGAGATCAAACAGGTTCTTTTGAAAAAACTAAACAATAGGGCAGCTCAGGTGGCTCAGCGGTTTAGCGCCACCTTCAGCCCAGGGCGTGATCTTGGAGGCCTGGGGTGAGTCCCGCATCGGGCTCCCTGTATTCAAAAGGAGCCTGCTTCTCCCTCTGCCTGTGTCTCTGCCCCCCTCTCTCTGTGTCTCTCATGAATGGATAAATAAAATCTTTAAAAAAAAAAACACTAAACAATAAAAAATTAGACATCAAAAAACAAATGTAGGGGGCAGCCCGGGTGGCTCAGCGGTTTAGTGCCACCTTCGGCCTAGGGCGTGATCCTGGAGTCCCGGGATGGAGTCCTGCATTAGGCTTCCTGCATGGAGCCTGTTTCTCCCTCTGCCTGTGTCTCTGTCTCTCTCTCTCTCTCTGTATCTCTCATGAATAAATAAAGTCTTAAAACACACACACACACACACACACACACAAATGTATATGAAAGGTATTAACAGTTCAAGTGGGCACCCAGAAAAGGCAACTAGCAAACAAAATAAGGTTTTTAGAAATGCTCTCCTAGTTTTCTTTTCTCTTCACCAGTAGGAGAAAGAATCTAATACACATTTAGAGTTACTAGATAATCTCTAGAAAGAAATGCTCTATGGCAGACCACTAAGTCAAATACACTTACCCGTATATGTCCAGCACTCCAATAAAAGAGTGCTGTTTGACAGCTGAATGGAGGGCCTGATTGACATGATCTACAATCCAGTTAAAGAGCTTGGCATAAATGTGCTTGGCTAAAGCATCACGGGCATTCGTGGCCTGCAGCTTAGAGATTGGTTTGATATATGTCTCTGTGGCGGTAGCCAGTTTCCGATGGCAGAGCCAGTGACACATCTCCTCATAGTCCACGCCCATAAGATCAGAGAAGATGCTGAGGGGTTCATGCTTGGGCTGACAAAAAGAGAGTGGGTTATTTCTTTGGCCAAATCAATCAAATATTTACCAAATTTACTAAAAAATACAAACAAAGAGGTAACAAAACCCAGAAATTTCTTTGTTATAACTAACACAGTGCTCATGTGAAGTGGTCGGTGATAATAATCATAATTGTCTATTAGACTAACATCCAGGCAGCATTTTATAATCTCTTCTAGGGCTCATTTCATAAACTACATCTTCCTTTGTCTCTTCACTGTGTTTGTTTTTAATCTGTCTTTAGGCTCTTTTATTCAGTCAGTTGATCAGAGTATCTGTCAGCTTGTCAACAAGTATTTACTGAATGCCTATGATATGCCAGTAAATAAAACCAGACATGGCCCCTATCTGCCTAGAACTTATAGTAACTAGAGGAAATGGATATTAATCAAATGACTATTCCCTAACCTGTAAAATTACTGCAAAGAAAAAAGGAGCGATACTCCGATTCCATGTGAAAGGAGTGTGCCCTATTCAGGAGGCAGGGGCCAGTTGCCTTGAGAAACAGAGCTGAGATCTGAAGGATAGGAAGGTATTAACTCAGTGAAAGGGGAAGAAAGGGTCTTCAAGCTGAGGGAGCAACTGGTATACAAGTCCTGTGGTGGGAGTGAAACTAGTAGTATGAGAGACTAAAGCTGAGTGAGGGAGAAAATATCTGAGATGAAGCCACAGAGACAGGCAGGGGATATACCATGGCTGGTCTTCATCCTGAGAGCAAAGGGAAGCCACTGAAGAGTTTGAAAGAGATAACTTCATAGCTATTTGCATGACTTCTTAGATTAGAATCTCTCTAATGGGGGTGCCTGGGTGGCTCAGTTGGTTAAGCAGCTGATTCTTGGTTTCAGCTCAGGTCATAATCTCACAGTCATGGGATAAAGCTCCATATTGGGCTCCTGCTCAGTGCAGAGTCTGCTTCAGATTCTTTCTCCCTCCCCCTCTACCCTTCCCTGCTTCCATTCTCTTCCTCAAATAAATAAATAAATAAAATCTGTAAAAAAAAAAAAAAGAATCTCTTTAATGACTTACATATCTCTATTCCCTATAATGTCTTCCATAGGCCTTGCATTAAGTAGACATTCAACAAATACTTGTTTAATTTAATCCACATGAGTGCATTATATTTTTTAACATCTTCATTCACATATTTCAATTGAATCTGATGACATTCCTGGGGAACAAGCAGGATGAACATTGCTATCTCTGACTGAAATCCAAGAGGAGAGCTTGGATTTGAAACATCACATGACCATTTATGTCAGTGTTGTCATTAGAACCTGGGTGCCCTGACACCCTCACCTCCTGACCCTTTCCACTGAGGAAATTCTTCCTTCCTTCATCTCACCTCTTCCCAAATGATCACTTCAGATATAAATCAGCACCATTACCAACAGCATGTCACAACTCTCTTAAATAAGCAGCTAATTTCATTCATGTAAATATGAATGATTTGACATCATTTAGAAGTGCATCAGTACTCTCTAAACATATTCTATTTGGGGAACCTGGGTGGCTCAGTGATTGAGCATCTGTCTGCCTTTGGCTCAGGTTATGATTCTAGGGTCCTGGGATCGAGTTCCACACTGGGCTCCCTGCAGAAAGCCTGCTTCTTTCTCCCTTTGCCTATGTCTCTGCCTCTCTTTCTCTGTGTCTCTCAGGAATAAATAAATAATAAAATTAACATACTCTATGTTAATGGCATTACTTTACTATTATATTACGGCTGTAAACTTTTTTGTTCAAATTTTCTGTAACTTTACTGATTTCTATCTCTTTTTATCTGAGAGAAGTCAATAATCTCCCACTATGATAGATCAATTTTTTATTGTAGTATCTGTTGGTTTTTGCTTTATATATTTTAAGTCTATGCCATTAAGTACATTAAAGTTTAGAACCATTACATCTTCCTGGTGAATATAATCTCTATCATTATATACTACTCTATTTATCTCTACTGCTGCTCCTTTTGGCCCCAAACTTTATTTTGTTCAACATCAATACAGGGTCTGCTAGGTTTTTTTGTAGCGATTATGGCATATCTTTTCTAAACTTTTTATTATCAAACTTTCTATACCTTTATGTTTTAGGAATGCTTATTTCAAAAGCATAGAGCTGCATTCCTAAACCAGTTATCCAGTTGTTATCTAGTAATCTAGTTCTATGATTTTAGGGGGAGCAGGGGCTGATGATTTACTTTATTTTTTTAACTTTTTCTTCTGAGCTTGTTTTAGACTAACAGAAAAGTTACAAGAGCAGTACAAAGAAGTCCCTTCACCCAATTTCCCTAAATATTAACATTTTACCACACTTGCTTGTATCATTCTCTTTCACATATGTGCACATACACATTAATTTTTAGAACCTCTGAGAGTAGAGTGGGAGAAAAAAAATAAAACAACAAAAAAAAAACCTTTGAAAGTTCCAAGCATGATGCTATTTTAGTCCTAAATATTTTAGTTTGCATCTCCTAAAAACCAAAGACATTATTTAACTATAATATCATGAAGAATATTAGAAAATTAGCAATGATACAGCCCTATTACCTAACTTACAGATTTAATTCAATTTTTTTTGATTGAGCTAATCAATTTCTGCACAGAGGTGAGGGAGAGATTTTTATAGTCCAGGATCCAGTCTGAGTTCATATACTCCATTTAGTTCCAGTTTCATTAGCCTCCTTTAATCTCAAGAGATCTTTGCTCTTTTTTAGTTTTTTTTTTTTTGTGACCTTGATATTTTTGAATAGTATGTCCCTCAGTGTGGGTCTGCATGATGATATCTCATGATTAGATCTGGATCATGCCTTCTCGGCAGGAATACCAGGAAAGTGATGTTGTGATCTCAGTACAACATATTAGAAGTTATATAATGTTGAACAGTCATTTCTCCAAAGACGACATCCTGATGGCCAACAGACACATGAAAAGATGTTCAACACCACTCACCATTAGGGAAATGCTAACTAAAACTATAATGAGATATCACTGCATACCTGTCAGAATAGCTAAAATTAAAATCGTAAGAAACAAAAAGTGCTGGCAAGGATATGGAGAAAAAAGAACCCTTGTACACTGCCAGTGGGAATGCAGCCACTCTGGAAAACAGGATGGAGGTCCCTTAAAAAGTTAAAAATAGAACTACTTACTCTATGATCCAGTAATCACATTACTATTTACCCCAAAAGTGGAAAAGCACTAATTCGAAAGGATACATGCACCCCTCTATTTATTGCAGTATTATTTACAATAGCCAAACTACTTAAAAAGCCTAAGAAACAGACTCTTAACTACTGAGAACAAACTGATGTTACCAGAGGGGAGGTGGGTGAAATAGGTGATGGAGATTAAGGAATGCACTTGCTGTGATGAGCACTAGGCATTGTATGGAAGTGTTGGATCACTACACTATGCACCTGAAACTAATCTAACACTGTATGGTAACTATACTGGAATTAAAATAAAAAAACTTAAAACATGTTCTTTTTTTAAATTTTTTAATAATAAATTTATTTTGTATTGGTGTTCAATTTGCCAACATACAGAATAACACCCAGTGCTCATCCCATCAAGTGCCCCCCTCAGTGCCCGTCACCCATTCACCCCCACCCCCCACCCTTCTCCCCTTCCACCACCCCTAGTTCATTTCCCAGAGTTAGGAGTCTTCATGTTCTGTCTCCCTTTCTGATATTTCCCACACATTTCTTCTCCCTTCCCTTCTATTCCCTTTCACTATTATTTATATTCCCCAAATGAATGAGACCATATAATGTTTGTCCTTCTCCGATTGACTTATTTCACTCAGCATAATACCCTCCAGTTCCATCCACGTTGAAGCAATGGTGGGTATTTGTCATTTCTAATGGCTGAGTAATATTCCATTGTATACATAAACCACATCATGGGCAGCCCCGGTGGCGCAGCGGTTTGGTGCCGCCTGCAGCCTGGGGTGTGCTCCTGGAGACCCGGGATCGAGTCCCACATTGGGCTCCCTGCATGGAGCCTGCTTCTCCCTCTGCCTGTGTCTCTGCCTCTCTCTCTGTGTGTCTATGAATAAATAAATAAAATCTTTAAAAAAAAAACCCACATCTTCTTTATCCATTCATCTTTTGATGGACACCGAGGCTCCTTCCACAGTTTGGCTATTGTGGACATTGCTGCTATAAACATTGGGGTGCAGGTGTCCCGGCATTTGAGTGCATCTGTATCTTTGGGGTAAATCCCCAGCAGTGCAATTGCTGGATCGTAGGGCAGGTCTGTTTTTAACTCTTTGAGGAACCTCCACACAGTTTTCCAGAGTGGCTTAAAACATGTTCACTATAAACTACAAACCAGAGAAATAAATATATTTAAAGGCTTTTTAAAAGCAAACAACAAAAAACAACAATAAAAAAAGAAGTTCTATGATGCTGATTGGTCTCACTACTGGTTGCGTCAATTAGAGACAAAGAATGTCAAATACAGAAGGGAATGCCTGCCAAGTTTCTCCAATGATAAAGACGACTATCTTTCTTTTTAACTACTAAGTATTTGTGGGGAGTTCTGTCTTTTCCAGCCCAATACACCATTCATTATTATTATTATTGTTTTAATTAATGATATTTGATCTATATTGGCACGTGCTTTCCTAGTTTATGAATGAACCATTCATTCTCTCCTTTTATATCTCTCTTGGGTCATTCTCCTTCTGCCTATGTGACTTCTATGCTTCTTTCTTTAATATTTCCTTTAGTGAGGGCCTTTTGGTGACAAAATCTCCCAATTTCTTTATTTTTTTTTAAAGATTTTATTTATTTATTCATGAGAGAATAGAGAGAGAGGCAGACACACAGGCAGAGGGAGAAGCTCACTCCCTGCAAGGAGCCCGATGTGGGACTCGATTCCAGGACCCCAGGATCATGCCCTGAGCCAAAGGCAGACACCCAACCACTGAGCCACCCAGGCATCCCAAAATCTTCCAATTGTCTGAAACAGTTCTATTTT